CTTTCCCCCACCAATATGGACACGTGGCATTGTACCGTGTACGGACAGGTCAGGCGTCTAGAATGTGCATAATATGGCGTTGGTATGAGTACATCGCCCCATACCACCTTTATATCACGGACGGGGACAAATAATCCATACCACCTTCATATATCATTCACACAATGAGAAAAAATGCAAGTCTACAGGGATGACAACTGCCTTCCGTCTCATTAATCAGCCGTAACTAGCCCTTGCTTAGCGGTGTCTCTTGCGTGCAGCTGAGTGTAAATAAACATGTTTTATAAAAATATAAAAAAACTACAGGATCGTTAAAGCACATGTGATAGCTTTAACATACCCAGTAAAATGGTGATATGACACAAGCCATTAAAACAGATATTATATTATAATTGCAATGACATTATCGTGTAATAAAAAAGTACCCTGTCATATTTGTAAAAATTACCATATTACCCCATTCAATAAATATAGATTCCCTTTACACTAAGTCTGAAGACTCTTTTTCACGATGTTTCCTGCTTTTTGTATGTTTGGTCAATTACGTTTAATAATGAGCGTTTGACATATGAGAGGAAAACAGTACCAGAGAAAACCCCGGACACATATGATTGGGTAACACTGAACGTAATTCACCGATACGTTCAAGAATCCATTGGCATTTCCAGGACAAGCCTACAAGCCTGGTAATCCCAGGCAATTTCCCATCCTAGTAATAACCAGGATAAAGCCTGCTTAGCTTCTGAGACCTGATGAGATTGGGTGTAATTCAGGTTGTGATCTGGTCACTACGACTGATTCTCTCATACGTACCTTAGATCAATAGTTTATAGCCGTGAATACGGTACAGTACCGTGTATTCTTCACATAAACCTCATGACATATTAAAAGTGGGATTTTGCCAAGTGCTGTTGCCTGGGTTGGTTAAACAATCACGCTCATTAGAATGTTCAACCAACAACGTGCGTTTTCTCACCTCGCATCCATCTTCCCCAGCACGCACACCTCCAGGGAATGTTTCAGACCTGCAGGAGATGGAGGATGGAGGGTGTGGAATGCGCCGTGGTAATTCGACACCTCTGGTGTGACTTTTCACACCGTTGATTGTCGACGCTACACAAGTGGGGATAGTTTGCGTCACATGCTAAAACATTAATCATTCATTTAATCTATTGACCGAGGCTATGATACGGACACTCTCCAAAAGCCACGTGTGTCCTGATCGACAGGTGAACGTACATTTACTGTCAACATCTGGTGTACACAAATCATTTTACTCTGCCATTATACCTCCGCATGAATTTGGGCATGCATATATGTCACTTGGGAGATGCAGCGGCGAAGTTGCCCATGCACTCCAATGTGAATCTGGTCACCGGAGTTTGATTGATTCCAGGTCATAGTTGGCATCAGTGGCGTGTGATGTATGAAACCAGTCCTGTCCACCCCCGACCCTTTAACAACTTGCAGCGTAGTGAAGTATGGTCAAACAATCCATCTAACTAAAATGATATGTAGCAGCCTTTATCCAGAAGTGAATTATTGACAAAGGGCTGTAATTATTCATATGCCAAAAATATAATGCCGCATAGGATGTGCTATTTATATATAATGTATATTGGTTGACAAGCAGTGGTTCTCAACTCCATAATCTAGCTGTTGGTATCCAGCAATATATATTATTAACTACAGGTTAAGATTTAATTACACGTACAGTATAGTTCATGCTTTTGCATAATGTTAGGCTTAACAGTAAGGTGTGTTGTTCAAAGGAATGTTAAATAGTATGTTATTCAAAGGTCTGAGCTATCTACATAGCCTACTTTAGTGATAAACGTGTGTTGTAAAAAATGATCAGCCAATAAAATTAACAAAATATGTTTTATTCTACATAGTGTACATGACTACAATTATATCTGACATAGCAAAGACATCTATACCCAGAGTAAATGGGCAGTCAGAAAATATATGTCTGGGTGCGAGACACTAAAATTCTCACAATTTAAAGGGAAAATTAAGCTCTGCCTTTGGTTCGATTGAAATGTTTTTTGGACGTGGTATATTGCCATCTTGTGGAAGCGTGCACCGCATAAGCACTTGCACACTGCGCACATACATCGCACGCAATTATTGGGAAACACAATTACGGATGCGGGTGAGCTATTTATGGAATAAATGTTAGCTTTGATTAAAACTATCTCGACTAACGCATGAAATATGCCAAAGTGAGATAGCGTTGCGTGTGATGTGATTGGTAAGTCTCAATCAGCTCCTTTAGCCGTTTACCAGCACCAACCAAACCATTAAATAAAACGGGTCATTTAACTGTAATCGGGTCTTGCAGACGTAACTTTCAAAGTGCTCAATTGCCTGACTGAAAAAGTGTCTATTTTTTTTCTACGTTGGCCATTGAATACACTGGTAGATTATTTCAAAATTACTTGATGCAGAAAGCGTATTTTAAAATAGGCAAGCCTCCTCAGCAAATGAATATTTTTGCCGAGGCAGATGCAATAACGTCAAAGTCGTTGCATATTTTATCCTTGACAGTATAACGAGTTTTATGCAAAAGATTACTTTATGGACATGGAGAAAGAATCTAATGGATTTGCTGAACGTGCTTTATTCCAAGTTACGTTCCAGAAGTGATTTCCGGCTGTTTTATATTAATACCTTTATTAATCATTTTGATTATGTGAATATTTCACTGTGTAAACATTAACATGTCTAATACTGTATTACGGCTTGTAGTGTACCAGTGTGTGTGTGTGTTTTTGTGTTAATGCTGTATGAGGGGTAGGAAATGTGTCTGCATGTAATTAATAACTATTTATAGCACAAACTGTACATTAATAAAATTAAAACGTGCATGTATACGCGTGCAGTACAAGCGGCTGGTGCAATGGTCATATTATGGCACGTCATACACCATAGTACACAATTTATATATCATTGGGTCCATTGGATATCATCATACATTTTTTTGTGAAGTTCAAATCGCATTTCAAGGTTGAAAATCGCTACGTGTGTTCTAATTATTTTTGATTTTCTTTCAGTTGTCAGCTGCTGGAGTGCTCTTCAGGTTTTTCAGGCCTCTTTTGGGAACTAGTGATGAGGGTTCTCAGTAACCTTTGAACTGTGTTAATGCAGCCCAAGCATTGCATTGGGAGGGGCCCTTAATGTCTCGAACCACCATATACGTTTTGCCGATGAGTTGAACTCCCCTGTGTGAACGTGCATATATTTTCTTTCATTAACTTTAACCTTTCATTTCATGAATGCATCTGCATTCAGATGCATCTGCATTCATTAAATGGTAGAAATTGAAAACAATCTATATTTATTATGCTGTTAAATGACTAAGTGCCATAAGTATTAATATTTACCATAAAATTAGCCCATCTTGAAACCCATGCTATGAGTGTCCAATGTTTATATATATACCGTGTTATTAGCTGAAGTCGAATATGCTAAAGGGTTATTTTGTGTGGAAGGCTGGTATGTTTCTGCTAATTATGAATGGTCCTAATATGGAAGTAAAATACACTGGAGAATTCAAATGACCAGAATGAGTAAATGTGGATATTATTAACACAAAACTACGTGCACAGAGAGCTGCAAGTAATGACACAATGTAGCATCGGCTAAAGTTAAGTTGAAATGGATATCATTTATTCATGACTAAAAAAAAAACTAGTATTCAAAGCACATAGAGAACGAAAAAGACCAGAGCCTTTTGATATACTGTACGTAATTGCAATCGTCTGAACTAATAATTCTCACTCTGAAATGACAATTTGGCAAATGGTAGAAGATTGAAAGAAACAGAAAGCTGCCCATTATATATTCTGCAGTCTCACGTTTGGATGTGACGTACTACAGTGATTCAAAGATGACAATCTGTAAAAAAATAGAAATGCAGGTCGTGACATCTTCTCAGCTTTTGAAGAGGGCCTTTGCTATCTGCTTATCCATCATCTCGTCGGTGGAATGTTCAATGTCCCGGGTTGTCATTATTTCCTCGTCATTATTCTTGACGGTCCGTCCATCAATCCATAGCCCCACTCAACGTGTTGCCTAAACTTAAGCCAATTATACATACCTGTCGACCCGTTATCAGTGCCTACCTTATTACAGACTAATTCAGATAGTATTGGTCACCCCGTGCCCTTATAAATCTCAACGCTCATCCTACAAAATCCCAGCACGAGGTAGAAACACGAACTAATAGACAAAAAAATGTTTTGCCCGTATTGAAATGGCTGCAAGCCGCATGGACCTGAAAACTCAATTTCCCTGTACAGGAATATGGGTAAACCATATGGGTTTGACACGGTAGGGTATAATAGTGTAGTGTATAGTAGTGCAGTGTATAGTGTAGTGGATGGTATTGTATAGTAGTGTTGTGTATAGTATTGTAGTGTATAGTAGTGTATAGTGTAGTGTATAGTGTAGTGGATGGTAGTATATAATAGTGTAGTGGATGGTAGTGCAGTGTATAGTGTAGTGGATGGTATTGTATAGTAGTGTTGTGTATAGTATTGTAGTGTATAGTAGTGTAGTGTATAGTAGTGTATAGTGTAGTGTATAGTGTAGTGGATGGTAGTATATAATAGTGTAGTGGATGGTAGTGCAGTGTATAGTGTAGTGGATGGTAGTGTAGTGTGTAGTGTAATGTATAGTAGTGCAGTGTATAGTGTAGTGTATAGTGTAGTGTATAGTAGTGCAGTGTTATAGCAAACATGTCAACCCTTAATCAGTGCCGACCATTTCACAGACCAATTCAGACCTTAGTGGTCACCCCGTGCCCTTATAAATCTCAACGTTCATCCCACAAAGTCCCATCACGAGGCAGAACCATGAACAAATAAACAAAAACAATCTTTTTTGCCCGTATTGAAACGGCTGTACCTGAAAACCCAACATTCCCGCACACGAATACGGAGTAAACCGCGCGGCGTGATGCGACGTCAGATATGTTTGAGATCAGATATGTTTATTTCGTTCATTTTACGTACAACCTGGTGATTGGGGGAGGGGAGCATGGTCCACGTCGTGACTTGCCAATCATCAGCAACTTCTCTGGCCATCGCAAAGGGGCGCGGTGCCGGTGTGGCTCAAAGCTGCCACCGTCAATGCAAATTGCCGAACATCGACAAGGCGGACATGGCCATGTCTACGAATGCGTTAATGCTGTGTGCATTTCTGGGAGCTTGTAGCTCCGTTTGTGTGGGACTCATGAAGGTACGATGGCTGTTACAACTTGACGTGATCGCTCTCGTTATTTATTTGTGTTTTGTTATCGATTTAGTGCGCCCCCGTAAAGTGATTTCCCCCCACCGCCGCCGCCGCTGCTTCTTGCCAAGCGCAGCCGCTTGCTGTGCGACTTTTTCGGGCATGAGGATCAGGCAACACGTAGGCTGCACTTTTTTCCGGGTGCTCTGCTAGGCCCCAAACACTGAACTTTTAAAAGGTACAACTAAGATATAGAACAGCTCAAATGTAATAACATCGCAACTCTTTGTGTTTCGTTAGCAGTTGTTTAGATTGCAGGTATAGCGTTGTGTTCCGCTGACTTGATACGTCTTAAATTACAGTACCTGCTCGTGTTTGTGTGTGGTGTTTATACGCTTAGTTTATAACAAGTAGGCTTTCGCGACCAATATTCCATAATATAAGTTTGTTTTGGGGTTAGATCGCGTAAATATATACATGTGTCGTTAAACATGCCACCACCCAACACAGCCAATTTGTAAGGTTTGTCACGTAAACAGAGCGTGCCAATGCGTTACTAGTATAGCACGCCGGTGTTTGTAGAGCAAATCCGAAATATTTACAATCTTGTAAATATTACAAGATTAATATACCCTTACTTTGGAACTTATTTTACGTGGTTTACGGGAATTATTACGTGTTTTTAATGGGTTATCTCGTGGAAAATCTGGAGAGTGTGATTTGTATTGTGTGGGTCTCTAGGAATTATACTTCGTCATTGTTATCAGTTACAAACACCGCAAATAGAGAGATAAGGAACTGAAAAGGCTAAGGTTCATCCGCGATATTTTTAGTATTGCTGTTTGAAGTATTCTTTTTCAAACATTGTAGAAATGGTAACCAGCATAAACGTACTAGTTTTGTGTCACTTTGGCTAAAATTAACTTTTATTAAGTAAATAAGTGAACACTATCCCAGCATTTAAATACTATTGCCGCATTTCAATCCGTTCGAAATTGGAATGTTCGCCTCTGCTTAGGGCTATAACTTTAGAAATTAGTAAAGTGTTAATCTAACAGTTATAACTGTCAATTCTATTACAACTCAAAATGTGAAAGCACTCTTCACTAATTTCCAAAGTTATAGCCCTAATCAGTGGCGAACATTTCAATTTCAAACGGATTGAAATGCGCCAATAATATTTAAATGCTAGGATAGTGTTCACTTAGTTTTTTGACTTAATAAAAGTTAATTTTAGCCAAAGTGACACAAGACTAGTACGTTCATGCTGGACATTATTTTAGCCATTGACATTTGATAGCTGTAAATCACTCCTGCCTCCACATTCTTCATTTCGCACATGGTGAATGAAGTATGGTTAAAAAAAAAAAACCTCATCCATTCTCAATGCTTCAATGGATAATTAATAAGAGTCCAACATGTTCCTGTTTGAAGGTACACTCACACTACAGTGCACGAGTGGTGCAAAGGTTGTTTCTGTAATAATGTATTATGTAATCTAACATTTTGGAAGACACTCGCCATTGAAATTGGCATTGTAGTTTATGTTTAAAATTCGCAAAACATCCAGGGTAGGTTTGGAAACCCAATTTTTGTTGCAAAAGAAGTGAGAATTAGATTAACCGATTGTGGAACACTTAGGGGTGCCTTTTAAACAAGTTTTGACAACCTCTACGTTCACTCCTTGCTCAACATTGCCTTTGCCAGCGGCAAATGTTCCGATCCACGAAACACATCAATCTTTAACACTTGCACCCCCCCACGACGTCCCTTGAGCCCACACCAGCTAAGAATTTTCGCACCAGTATTTCCGTGTGCTAAGCATGGCAATGTCAAATTCATAGCGGCTCTGTTGTAAAAAAACACAACCCATAACATACCAGTGTGCCTGGTTAAAGTGTGCTCATGTGTATACTTCATTCAATCTTATCTGGTGAGTTGCAGTGTTGAGGGGGGTAGTCATAAAACGATCCATCATAATAGTGTCTGTCTGCTGCGTTTGCAGCCTTCACTTTATTGGCTGCCTGGACAACATTGTCAAAACTTGTGGGATGCGTTTGTCATATTCATTACTGAGGAAATAGTTCCATTCATGTGCACTTCTTTTTGCACAATGTGATTTTTTTTTATATAATAAAAGCATTAGTTGAATCGTAGTTACTGGCTTGGAGAAAAACAGCCTTTTAGTGGTTGTTAAACTAAAACGTCAACTTGTTTCGGGATGCAATTATGTGTTTTGTTTCTAATCTTGTCATTACCTATACAAATATGTACCAGGAGAACAATCGTTTTAACTGTAAACTAGTCGAACCAGTTCGGTTACATGCTGTTGACAATGGTCTGAACTGGATCCAGTGCTACATGTAATAAAACTGATAAAACCTGTCTAACTTTAGGGTATTTACCTTGTTTTTTGGTACTATACTGTGCTAAAGTTTATTCATTATCAGCAGCCATTATCGACGCCGCTTGATGAATGCCCCCCCAAGCCATCTTCTCTGCATACAATGATGGCACAATCCATGTAACTTCTTTATGTCATCACAGCATGTCTGTGCTCTCGGGCACATTCTACCCTTCAGCTGCCATTACGTCACACATCTCGTCTATTGTATAGCTTAACTTCTGGTGATGTGTCCTGACCAATTCCAACTTTCATATCAGTCGATATGATGTGCATTACATGTGACTGAATTCTATTTTTTTTTCTCTGATACAGTACATTTGTTCTTATTTTCATCTCTAATTTTGAACATGGCTGTCCATTCTCTTTTGGCTTTTGTTCCATTTTTATTGTCAGTGACCATATGGGCTGGTTCATGTCACCACTATTGCCAAATCCACTGGTTCAAACTATTTTTCTTGGACATTGGTACACTCATTTTTTTCATCGTGAAGTTCAACTTGACAAAATAAATTTTGCCTCTTTGAGTATACGTCTCTGTACTTCATACATTTGATTCCAATTTCCCTTCAAATTCATGCACGAATAATGTTGCAAATTTGGACTGATAAACATAAGCAGAACCAACGTCCTGTCTGAATAGGTTGCTCAACAAAATAAAGTAATTGTTGGAAGTACATAACTTTAAAATAGTAAAAATTTTGATCGAGGTCAATTATTAATGGTAAATAAAAAGTTTACATTTTCATAACTGCACATTTTAGTAATCCACAGCAAGAACATTTTGTTGCTGTGGATTTCACACCTGATGATGATTGCTTGTGTATCAGTCGAAACGTGAGAATTTTCTTTTTCTTTTTTTTATTATTTTATTGTTTTCCTTCTACGTGACTTTACCGAAAGAACCAAGAATCGAATTTACATTGTCTGTTTCAAATGATTTGGTTCGCATAGAATGTATGTCTTCACAACGCTTGCTATTATTACTGAAACTAAACCATTGCATATCGTAGGTGAACCCCAGGATTTTGGAGGAGCAGTTGCTTTGGCAAAGGAAAGCCACTGGGGAGGTAAATACTTTCAGAATACCCATTATCACTGATACGCCAAAAGGAAATCTAATTGCTGCAGTGGAGGCTCGGAAATACTCTTATTCTGACAAAGGAGCCAAGTTCATTGCCATTCGTAGGTCCACTGACAAAGGTAAGCATTACTTGAGTTTAATAAAAAAAAACATTCCTGTATAATTATGCAAACAATCGGTGTCTCTTACAAATTACAATTCTCGGTTTACATTTCTGTTTACCATTCCGTAATTAAGCGTGTATCTTCACTTGCTCAAAACAATTACATTGTGACCTTACAGAACAACAAGCACTTATTCATGTCTGAATCTATTTTAGAGCAATGGTTTGTACCTGCGGTAAGCATACCTCTGGGGATACACATGATATCTCGAGGGGTATGCAAGGCAAATCGCAATGTGGCAGTTGGGTATGGGGGTTACTAAGCCACGCTGCTCTACATGTGTGCACTAGCAATTCTAAACATGAACACTGATCTGTTTTGTGGAATTATTTAGTGGATTGTTTTTCAGTTAAGTGTTAAATTAATGTTTCAGGCGTTAATTACATGTACGTTTAATTAGGGTGCAGGGATTTTTCCAATAACGCACTTCTGATTCGAGCTGTTGGCTACGTATGGTGCGAAAGAAGTTCAACATACAACTGAATAATTGAGCAAAATCTGACTTGTTAAAATATAAAGCCTATTGTTAGTATGGGTCCGTGGACTATTGATTTGTCCAGTTAAGGCACGGTACACGACAAACAAGGATGGGGAACCACCACTTTAGAGTGCACATTTTATTTAATAAGCCAGCTTTTCTTCGCCTTTTATGTGCCGACAGGCTTCACGTGGAGTCCCTCGGAGTTTGTGGCCGATGATGGCTCAACTGCCGATGGCCTCAATCTGGGCGCGATAGTCGCCGATCACGAGGAGGGTGTATTGTTTATCATGTACGTGCGATGTGCCCACCACCTGAAATGTGCCGTCTCCAGTACCATGCTCATCAGCAGCACGGATGATGGCATCACCTGGAGTAGACCCATAAATATTTCGCGACAGGTTGGCACCGACGCATTTGCCCCGGGCCCAGGCTATGGCATTCAGGTAAGCTGAACGGTGATAAATTAGTAACGTATTTAGGTCAGTTGTTGTGTTCTCTGAATAATCACTGGCATTTTAACCTTTTACGTCTTTTTTTTCCTGTTTATAAGGCAGCGTGAATTACATGTTTGCTCATCTTTTTGAACTGTCGTAGTGGTTTACAAAGTGTATTGCGCAAAAATTATAAATTTAGCACTTTGAAACATCGTCTTCCGATTTGCTCACGAAAAAAAATACATTTCGTACAGAAAAGGCACGAGCCCAGGAAGGGGCGCTTGATTGTGTGTGGACACGGCATGCTCCTGGCGGATGGAGTTTTCTGCCTCCTGAGCGATGACCATGGAAAGACCTGGTTTAACGGAGGCGTCATGAAGAGCATTCCATACAAGCAAAAGAAAGCGGCCGGTGACTTCAACCCCGATGAATGCCAGGTTTCTGCTGCCATCTCATTTATGCATTTTGTCAGTACACTAGCTCAACAGATGTTGTGCATGCAGTTTAATGAATTGTCATTGCGTTTTCTCCCAACGTGCCCAGACCGTAACATTTTAACCCCACTTTTCTGATACCGTACCCAGCCTTACGAGCTGCCAGATGGCTCTGTGGTGGTGAACGCACGCAACCAGAACTTCTACCACTGCCACTGCCGCATCGTGATGCAGAGTTTCGATGGCGGTGAGACCTTCCCAATTGAGAATCTCTATTTTGACAAGTCACTAATCGACCCTGCAGTGGCTGCTGGCGCTGTATTGAAAAACCAAGTTGTGTTCTTTACCAATCCAGCTAACGGATCTAAACGTGAGTTATGTTTCAGTTTAATGAAATAAAACTTAAACTCTAAACCATTTTAGAATATTTTTTAAGTTTTCAGTATTGAAACTGTTGAAGTGCTGTGTGCTTTAATGCCAGGACCACACAATAGTTTCCTTTATTCTCTGCAAGTTGGGTGACTTATTTCAATGGAACACATTTTTATTCATGATTAGACACGAGAACAAAATATGCCGGCAATTTGTTTTTTTTTATCATAGCTTGACATTTGATTCTACGTAATTATTCTTTTTCCGGGTTTGCCAGGCATAAATCTGACGCTGAGGTGGAGCTATAACAATGGGACGACATGGCCTGAATCGCTGCTGATCTGGCCTGGGCCCAGTGGATATTCGGTCATGGCCAAGCTGGACAATGACATAGAGGACAACAACTATGTCTACATCCTGTTTGAGAAAGGCCAGGTGGACACTACTGAGTCCATCTCCTTTGTCAAGGTGCAGCTGTACACACCTATTTCTGGTCAATTGTAAATCGAGTATTTCAAGAGGAGATTTTTTTATTTGTTGCATACATCTTTGGGCTGATAGATTTTTAGTGTAAAGATTCCACGTTTTTTTTGGAATCTTATTGGAAAATGTGTCACTTTATGATTTCTCAGGGTTCGTGAAAATCGGGATTTGTCAGAAATGTTGAATGCTGTTTGGTGTCATACTGTTAATGTTAGTTTGGGGAAGGAAAAGCTGCTGTTTACACTTTGGTCTTTGGTGATAATGTGGAATATATTTAAATATTGCTTGTGGTGCTCTACTGTAAATTGTAAGACATGGTTCTGCCTTGCAAGCTTAATGCAATCACATTAAACTTTGTTAAAGTTTTTAGAGATTTGAATATTTTTTTGCCAAAATAAAAACACTGCAATTAAAACAGGATCGCTTGTTTTTTTTTAAATGTATGAAAGCATTATTATTTGTAGTAGACATACTGTGCGTTGTCAAGGTCTTGGGGTTATACCAGTTTTTGTATTTATATTTATTTTATTGATTGCATACTGTATTTGTAGAGCATTATCTTCTAAATATAAGGATTAACTGCTGTCTTAATGGGTCAAAGATTCACAGATGTACATTTCTTTAGATATATTTTAGTATTTGATTATGAACTAGTAAAAACAGTAGCATGTCATCCAGTATAATAATATTTTTAGGAACACTGTTTCTCTTTGTTATGTTTTTATTTACCAATATCTTTACAAAACATCAAACAAAACCAAACACTTTCTGGAATATTAACAAAAAAGTAAATTGATGAAAAATAATAGTTTGTTGGCAAACATCTTTACTAACAATCTGTAATCAAAACTAATCCTTTAATCAAGATTCGGACAGTTTTGAAACCAGTAAACCAAATACATTGATCTCATGGTGTTGTTTGAGACGATGTGGCTCTTGCCAAATATTCATTCTAAGTTTGTGATAGTGCAAGCACAATAACAGAAGTGCAGAGCAAAGCAGGCACTTTAATTGCAATCATTAAGCGTTTCACTTGTTTTAAGGCTATTACATTCTTAGTTAAAGCACGTTACACTGCATACTATTCACTTAATAAAATTTATAAAGTTATTCTAACAAACCCGAACAATCAATGCAATAATTTGATACTTACTCTGATCATCTGAAATATTGTATGTTGAAATCAAACTGGCAAAACATAACTTAAAAATACACAATAAAAAATGCAACAATGTAAAAGTCAAAATATATTCGCTTAAAAAGGAAGTTGCAAAACACACCATTGCTTGAAATGCAATACATTAACTCCGTCTCTTCACTTGCAGGATCAAAGTAATATGCATGAAGCTAGGTAGCGAATTTAGGATTTGAATTGAATGAAAACGCAACAAATTCCTTAACCCTCGGGTATACCGCTGTTATTGTCGGTGTGACTTGTTTTGTTACATTGTGTGTATATCCAGTGTACTGGAACGGACTTTTTACTCGCGAGCAATTTTTTAGATTTTCTGGAACAACCTTGCACCAAGCCCATGTTTTATCTGGACGAAGCATCATCAATTTCGACAAAATTCGTTCAGCTTTTCAGTCGTGCCTATTAAATAACAGCATACAAATATGCAAAAAGTAAAGAGATGTATGTTATCACAAGTATACAATATATACGCTCCTTAAATGTGCGTAGAAAATGGAAACCTTATTTTGGTGCAACAACTGGCTTACGTTTTCACACATTTTGCCCTTTGCAGAGCTAAACCATTTACAGTGAAAAGTGCACTTCACTCTGACCTGGGTCAATTTGGCATGTTATAAGTTACCATTACACATTCTACTATGACAATTTCACTTCAGATTTTAAACGGGCTTAACGGCCGTTCAATAAATACCGACGAAACTGTTTTTAATCTTTCTCTGAAGAAATTGGTTTGTTTCCCTGCTGTCAATACATTTTTACCTTCGAGAATCTATGTAGATGGTAAACCATTTGCAGTACATTTAACAACAAGGTTTTAGCCATGTATATATGGTATAGGATTTACAATGTCACGACTATGATCAACCATGGTCAATAGACTACTGGATGGTCTCGCCAAGCCGTCGCCGCCTTTTCACAATTCTGCGATCTCTAATCCACCGAGCACCTACACATGCACTGATTGCATTTCTCCAACTCAGTAGATGTCTTCTTGGACGTATTCCATTTTACAATGTACGATTGTAATAGTTAATACTAGCGAACTGCATGTCCGTCTCCCAGCCAGCCAAACTTTGTATACTGTATATATATCTAGAGGCCCTTTCCCAAATCTACCTCCATTTCTCGCTTTGTCTCCGTTTCCCTGTTTCTATTCCTGTGTCTCCTGTTATCGCTCCATCTATACTCCTCTGCCTCCAATGTATCTCACCCTCTTCCCCCTCCCCCCTATCTCTGTGTTTCTCTCGCACTTTTGTTCTCCTTATTCCCAATTTTTTCTTTCCCATCTTAATCTCTTGCCTCTTCCCAAATCCTCCCGCCCACTGCTTGTCGTTTTCCCTCGCTTTCCTTTTTAAATCCTTTATATTAAGTTCGCTTGCTTGCTTGCGTGCTTGCTTGCTTACGACCGTGTAAATCTTTCGGTCGTTTTTTAACCCACTTCCCATGATCCAATCGAGTTGACATTTTCCACACAGACTCGTTGTGCGTGACAATTAATGTTCGTGAAAAAATGTTTCCAAAATGTTACACTTTATAGGACAAAAATATATATTTAATTACCAATTGTTTAATACTGCAGACAATCATCTGACCCATAGGTGGCAGCCATCTCAAGCCAGAGGACGAGAGGACTCAAGCCGCCACGCATATAAAGGATTTAGAGTGAAAAACTTTGTTTTTACGGGTTTACTTATTTCCGTTTTGTTCTTTCCATTCCTCTCCGTAACACGCCTTTACACTCTTTTCCCACCACTCCTCTGGCTCGTATTCCCTTGCCTCCCTCTCCGCTATCACGCACTTGGCCGCGCGTCAGCCAGGCAGATAGGAATCCATGTAGGAAACTTTGTTGTGTTTGCTAATAAAACGAGGATATTAAAGCCAAGTGGTGGCTTGGGAAGGCAATCTAGCAAAGGATTGTAAATGTGTTCTTTTTGGCAGAATAAAAGTTTGTACAGCAGTGAACAGTAAACAACATCTCCAAAAGAAAGCTAAATAATTAGATTATGACATTGTCCAGCTGAGTTTGAGAGAAGTAGTCCATACAATAAAAAAAATGTACGTTACAAAAATAACTATATACACGTTTTCTAAATCATTTGGAGCAAACACCACCTGTGTTGTCTCTTTGGTCATGTTGTTTTGGACGTATAAGAGCCACTCATTGGTTTCCTCAAACTGCAAATCCCTGAGTGGAGGGGAACTGAAACCAAGCAGTTACCAGTTCGTTCTTTGTATCATAGTTCTGATATAATGTCGACTGAATGCATTGATCCAACATTTTCCAGAGCGACCTTATACGCATTCTGTATGCCATTGGTCGAATTCACAAAGCTGCAGACGGTCTCGTACAGGAAGCGGTAGTGGACCTACACAAGAGAAAAAAAACGTCAACTATGAAGGAAGTATTCATGTTCTTTCCCGTAGCCACGGCTGGCCAATACATTCACAAGAATAAAATGTGATTTGTGGAATTAAAACCGTAACCCTGAATTGTGATAATCGAATCACCAGTTAGTGGAAATATTTGTATTCCTTATCTACCAATAGTAGCATTATCACATTAGCTTTAAGGTTACACTCATAACAATAAAGTCCCCACGTATATATTTACAAAGCAAAGTAATTAAGATCTGGAGAAGCTTTACAACTGTCAACGTTTGCCAGATTGATGATCATTTTTCGCAAAAACTCGACGTGCCATGGGCCTTCTCTGTTGGAAGAAGACCGCATGAGAGGAGCTGCACAGTACGAAGGTGAAAACCGACGCAGCAATCGAACGTGTACCTTCTCCTGGACAATTGCCGGACGCTGCATATTTAGCCACTTCACCGCTTGGAAGAAGTCAACCATGCCCTCAACGCGCGCAGCCTCAAGGGTGTTCCAAAGTGCGCAGAATGTGCCGGTTCGGCTAGCTCCGTCACTAAAACGGCGGAAACAAAAGACGTGTTGTGGACACAAAAATATATAAGCATAAGGCAAAAAACATTTCCTTCAAAAGAGCCACAGGGAAGCGTGCGTTTACCTGCAGTGGACAACAATGTGTCGGTTGTTGCCATTTTCTTTCTGACAGCCCTGGACCGCATTTATAATGGCAACGAGAGCCTTGGGCGACTTGGGAAGTCCGTCTGGTTTCCAGTGTGGGTACTGGATCTGGGTCACCACACTCTCTTTCTGCAAATGAAGAAAAATCAATTAACACAATTCATCTTGCCGTTTGGGTCTTCCGCCGATGAGCTGTGTAACTCTCCGATGTGCTTTAGAGTCGTGCCCACGTTGTGATGCTATTTGATGTTTCACGCCACGTGCTTGCGGGCGAGCTTAAGGCAATGAATTGGTACGTGGAGCGAAACGTCGGCGCACAATTGCGAACAAATCGCTGTGCAGCCCAAAAAAATATCGGAGAGCTAATAAATACGTATGGATTTACAATAATATGGATATATACGAAAGACGAATGCGTCGTTTGCACCTAAAACATAATTAGACCTTTTGACAACTCCTGTAGGAATTTAATCTGTATATTGGGCACATCATTGTGTGGTGCTGCCAACACTCTTATTGCAGCACACGTCTGAACAAAAAAAAAAATTGTGAACCGTATGAACAAACAACAGTAGTTTACGGAAAAATGTAACTGCTTCCACCAAACAAAAATGTGCTCTTTAGATAAATTTTATTTGCCGGCTGAGTCAACGGATTTGACTTCCGTGAGGGAGCGCCTGCGTTGCTATTAAAAAACCACAGCGTGTTTGGAAATTGGTTCTCACGATACCACGGCATGTCCTACAATAACTACAAGGTCGAGGATAATCCGTATAATTTTTGTTGCAAAATGCCATTGTATCCTGTTTACCATGGGTAATTTACTAAATATGTATTTTCATTTCTGTACCGTATAAAAATAACAAGTGATTTAGATCTTAACTTAAAGCTTTCGTGACTGCAGGAATTCATATTCTTTGGGTCTTTCGGTAAAGCCACGTTGATAGAAAAAAAATATGACGACGTTTCGATCGCAACACAAACAATCGTCACCAGGTGAAAAAATAAAGCGGGAGAGCTGCTGAAGCAGGAAAAATTAAATATGATTTAGAGTTATACATTCGTAGCGTTTACCCATTAAACAAGTAATTAATGGCATGTCGGTTACAGTGTATGACTGATTTTTTTGTAAGTTCCATAAGTTCCTTAGTTCTCAATTACATACGTGGAGGCATGTGCATTGTAAGTGTGAATTGTAAAGTTGCCGCGATGGAAAGACTGCAGCTCAAGTTATATTCAGTAATACATATTCACACAGGAGGTAGAGAAGTCCAACAATCTACAATAAAAATGCAAAAACCCACCACAACGAACTTTACAAGAAACTCATCATATCGTGATGATTTGTTAAACTGTTTCGTGAAAGTGTACTTTGCATGAGGGTCGTCATACATTGTGTTGTGCAACCCGAGTTAACACACAGCACAACACACATTTTTGGAACTCGTGTGTGTACGAGATGCGTTACATTTTCATAAGTCAGCGAAAACTCCCGGACAACGAGATCCCGTCTGGAAGTCACGTTTCTCACGGTCACTCCGACAGCGCCATAATTCTGCGTTCCTTTCAGCGGCCAGTAGTGGGCAGACTGCTCCTGCAACGCAATGGAATTGACGAGTGGTGACAGTGTTCACTTCGTTTAACACGACCAATATCATCCATAATGCAGGGGGGGCGGGGGGGTGTTTGGGGTTGGATCACGTAAATATTTAAATGTGTCGTTAAACCCGCCACCACCGGACACAGCAGATTAGTAAGGTTTGTCACGTAAACCAGAGCATGCCAATTCGTGACTAGTACAGCACACCGGTGTGTTGGAGAGTAAATCCACAACATTTACAATCTGAGTACGACGTTTCGCCAGTAATTACAACTGGCATCATCAGGCGGCAGCCAGATTTGTGGCTGTGTCGGGTGGTGGCGGGTTTAACGACACATTGATAATTACGTGATCTAACCCCCCAAAAAACCTGTATTATGGAGTATTTTCTTAAATTGTTTCTGCATTGATAACTGCGTGGCGTTTGTTTCCGTGTAACCAGAAGTAAGCGAAATAACCCCAGCCCGTAATTAAAAAAGCGCGTCCCTCGGTTGCGTGACGTGCCATTTACCATCCCGAAATGCCGTGCGATGGGTTGTTCTTTTTCGTGCCGTCCTAATTACACGAATGGATATCATTTGTCACGCGTAGCTTATCTCAAATTAAAATGTACTCCGTACGTCCGAAATACATTTATTTCAGACAAAAAAAAAGTTAATCAACTGCCAAATTGTGAAACTGTTCGTGACGATACAATTGTTTTCGTCGATATTTCCCAACAGCCTTCAATCAGATGAACTGCACTTATGCAAATTAAAAAAAGTTAATTGGAAATGTACTACCTCATCGGGTTCAGTGACTAACAGTATTACGCTTCAATGTTCTTGTATAAGACAATGAATGTGATGTGAATGTTATCCCATTGTAATGATCATACCTTGCCTCCCTCTGACAACTCTGACAGCATGACAATGTGGCTACAGTTTTGCTGGACCACCATGAGCCAAAAGTCAGACACGGTGTCGGGCAAAGGATTCTGAGTAGCTATGATGCTCTTTTGCTTGTGATAACCCTGAATGGAAGAAAATGGAAGGCGATTACATTAAGAGTACACGACATTTGCAATAAAAGGTAACATTTGAATGAAGTATAAGCGACACGGTCGTCAAACATAAGTCTGTGCATCTATGGATCGCCTCCAGATCATGATTTCAACCAAGAGCAATTTTATAAGTAGGCTTTCAGGTCCAATGTTATGATTCGTAACGGGTTACTTTTGGGTTAGATTTTGTACGTATAATGTAACTTTTCTTTACGATAATCCGTCACCACCTGACAGCAAATCGATGCAAGATATCACCAAGGCAAATATGGCAATTGATTTGATTTTGCAGTCAACCGGAATGTTATAAAAAAAGCTTTTGTCGGGTGGTGGACGGTTATAATTAAATATTTTAAAAATGTATATTGCACATTGTAACCAAAAATATACCAATTATGAACCAAGACTTATTTATGCAACAAATTTGATCAATACAAATGACCAAGCCCTATTGGATTCTCACTGCAAATGCCATAGGTTGCAATGAACTGGACTACTACGCTATCCTTTATAGAATATTTCATAGACTCCCATCAGCAGTGGTAGAGCTAGTAATACAGCAAACCAAGCAGAAGGCGAAGGCTCCATAAAGCCCAAGTGGCCTTGGGTTCATGAAAAAATAACCACATTAATGAATATGAGAAACAAAACAACTTCATCTCTCATGCCACTTGATCTCTATTTTCATCTACATTGTTCTTGTCTCACCGAATATCCATTTCCTGTCCGTATATGCCTTTTGTTATCTCACTAGAAGTTTAGAAATGTTGTGGGGAAGGCCCAAAGTTTGTATATCTGCTTAGGGGCCCTAATGGGGCAGCACCACCACTTCCCATGAGGGAGTACCCACGTAAATCCAAGTTGGTTGTCTTTTTTTTCATCTAGCATGTTGTAACGTGCGTATGTATGTTGCACTTCTTTCGCACCATGCTAATCGGAAGTGCGGAGGGAAGGACAACAAACTAAATACAAAAAGCAGTTCGAAACAAACGAGGTTTCAATATAGATTCAAAAGTGCATAGCTCCAGTGGCTTCCTAATATCGCAAGAAAGATCGTTCCAGACGGCCGCAGAAGCACATCTTGGTTGCATCTGCATTGTGAAACTGCACCCCCCCCCACCCCCCCGCTTTCACAATGACAAAATTGTCAAGTTGGCTACGAGATTTTGCTCTCACCAGGAAAGGCTGTGGAGGAAATTACCTATACGGTAGAACTGTCTGCGACAACGATAATCCACGATAATCTGTGGGTACTGATTGTCTTTTTTTTCTTTCCCCAGCATGCACTTCAGAAAATGACATCGTGACGCCTATTATCTGCAACGGTTTTTTAGCATTTAAGTGGAGTTCGTCAACAAATTATGGATAATAGGATTGGCAATGTGCATCCCATACAATGTGGAAGATTAGAAGAGTTCTACTGTATACGTTCTGAAGTGAGCCATGTGAAAATGTGAGGATTTCTCACCCAACTTTATGCGTGCAGAATGTCAGTCCAGTGAATACATTTTTTTTTACATTGAATGTGTCCAAAAAAACTTCACTCACATCCATGAAGGAGGCATTGATGTAGTCTTTATCACTATTTTCATTGTCACTTTCATCCTCATCAGAATTATTGTCATCATCATCTTCCTCATCATTTATTTCGGAAGGCGTAAACTTCCAAAGCTTCACTCTGTTGAAGTCGTCTGGTGACGCAGATATATTTCACTCACAGTTAATGCTTTTCAACCACAATGGCAAGCGACGGTCAAACGAATCTATTTCGCAGCACGCATGTGCACTGACTGACTGGCCACAGGTACTCACACGGGATGACATTTGTGCTTCTGTTCTTGCGGACGTTGTTGCTGTTCCTGCCCGCTTTTTGTGCGAACGTGCCTTCAAACGTTGGCAGCCTCTGCAGGGGAAACACAAATTTCCAAAAAGCACAAAGTTTGAACCCACAACGGTGGCTGTGTGGATCTCGGGGAGCTACTGCCGATGTCAGAGTTGATGATACTGCACCAGCAGACCTAAGATATCCTTACGTTGTGCAACTCGTAAATTAGGTTCTTGCGCGTAGAGCATTTGATTGTCTCGGGCACATGGACATTTTTCCCCCTCTCTTCATGGCCTGTTACCAAATCACCTGCAATGCGATCGATCTCGTCACAGCTTGGACGCTAATAAGCAGGATTTTTGCCTGGATAGTGTTTGGATGGATGGCCACTGTGCAGTAAACACGTGGTATAGGCAGTTATCAGGCTGTGTTATGGGCAGCAGGGGGCAATAAAGCAAAACCTAATGCTGCGTTGAACTTTTCTCCTACGTCTATGCTCCCAATCTTCGTCAACCCACACTGACTAGTGTGGTGAAGTATGGTCCACAATAACTCCCAATGGTATGGGGAGGCTCTTATCCAGTGGATTTAGGGTTGTTGCTTGCAACCAAATCGCCCTGAATGCACGCAATCTCATCTCCAAGAAGCTAAGTAACACTGAGGCTGGTTAGTGCTCGGATGGATGGGTGACTACCAGTGCAAACCAGGTGTTATAGGCATACTTCACCAACCTGGTCAGTACTGGTTGGTCACGGAATGGCCCAGGACCCATTTAGATGTCACCACTGTGAACCATGGCTGGAAATGGAACACGGTTGACTAGGTTCGTAGCAGTGCGGTGCGCTAGAAGTTGCGCCACCACTCCACTGCTATTTGTACCAATTATTAGCACTTCAGCTCATTGTGAGTAAAACAAAATACAGACGGACTCAAACCTTGGGGAAGGTGGAATTGATGAAATCCGCTCTCATGTGGCTGCTATATTAATTATCTACATCGTGGCAATGCGAGATATGGTGGCAGCTTGGGGAGATATTCATTCAGCAGTGGATTGACCATGCCAGATGATGATAATGATGATGATGATGAGTCAAACCTTAAACTCGACATCCACGGGTGACTCGTCTTGCTGGGAAGCCTTGAACTTCATGGCTTGGACTCTTGAGTGGAGCTTGACCATGCTCAGCTCGGTGTTCCCAAAGAGGTGATGTTCCAGAAGTGCCCGGTGAAGTAGCACATATTGACTCTGCTTGAGATACAGGGTCAAAAGATCAAAGGGATGACATGCTCAAATGAGCATTGAGACGGTGCTCATCACCTGTTTACAACCCTGAGCTAGTGGGTGGAAATTACACATTGCTATCGCTGGGACGAGTATATCCATAGGACAACCTCTGGTTGATTTGCCCACGAAGTGATACTCGTTTTATTCGCCCCGGACGTACGATGGGCCAAGTCAACCAACAATCAGGATTTGAACTCGTTACATTTTCTGATTGCAAGCCAGTCGCTCTACCACTGAGCCACCTGTCCAGATGCACAGGACACAGAGGCGGGATAAAGTGGGCAAGAGTAAATGCAGCCTTCAAAATAAAGCACACGGCTGTGTAAGCATACGTAAATGTGGCTGAAGAAACTATTAATTAATGTACGAAAGTATTGCAATCAGCGAAGACATTTTCAATGATTACGTTGCATTCATAATAAAGGAATTCTTTTGGGATTAGATCACGTAAATATAAAATTACGTGACATGCCAGTGCAATTTTCTACAAATTGCATAGTGAAGGAGGCATGACCCTGGCATTTCACAGGGAGTAGTTTTTTTTTAGATTGCGGTACCCTTGCACAAATGCAAATTAGAAGAGCTGCGGGTTGTTGTGATTGCTTTATCCTCTGCGGATGTAAAGACAAGTGGATGCTACCAAGGAATGGAGCTGCATTGTGATTACACTGATCGTGGCAAGGGCGCCACCATGTTTAACGTGTCGTATGTCTTCCGTCTGACAGCAAAATCCAGGAAAAATATTATTTGCGTGAGCAAGGCCGGATTAAGATTTTGTAGGCCCCGGGGCTACAGGTACTGTCAGTCCCCCAGTAACATTTTCAAAAGAAAATCAAAGTTAAAGAAAAATAAAAATGTATTTTCACAAAGCTAACAACAAATAATATTCAGCATTCACAAGTGAAATAACTTTTCACTTAATCTCTGGAGGCCTTCCAGCTGGCAGAGGCCCCTGGGCTGTAGCCCCTAAAGCCCCGTGACTTAATCCCGGGCCATGTGCGTGGGTCGCGGTGTCATGCCCCATCGACTGTGAAAATTTGGCAAAAAAAACACTGACCCAGTTTACGTACTTATTGAACTTGTCTTTGCTTATTATTAAACGTGTACAATATTTCTAAATCAGTGACATGTGTGTCTATGTGTATATTGTGTTACTCGTGTCTGCGTGTGTGTGTTTATTTGCATTGGCCTGTGTTTGTAGTTATGGCAATATGCTCACTTATGTAATTTGGGATACTTTATTTATTTTATCGACTTCTTATAAATTAGAGTACAGCATAGCAGACACGAACGCGTGTATAAATGTAATGGCTTGGTGGCTATAGAGCCTAATGGACCGTGCCTGTGTACTGAGCCAGCATCTGTGTGTCCCTGGTTTCAGGGCCTACGGCTGACAAACGAAAAATGATTACGATTTACCCAGTGCAGAAGGCATTGACACGGAGCAAATGTGATGACCCGAACACAGTCGCTGATGATTACACAAGCTTTGTAGTTTGTAAAGCAGGGTCCTGCTGTGGTATAACACTCGTGCCTCGGAGTAAGAAGTGCCTGGGTTCGATTTCCAAATCGGGCGTCTCTCTGTGTGGAGTTTGTATTTTATTCTCTCCTTCTTCGCCATGGCTTTTCTTCGGGGTTCTCTGGTTTTCTCCCATCGCTAATAAATCGTACAATGTCGCTGATATTGGGAAATCAGGACAATCATCCCAATGCTGAACAATAATTTGCAAATGACTAAAAATGGAAGTACATAGAGTGAACATTTTTCCCTACTGCCAAAGAGAGTCTTGAGCGTTTGCAAGGCTTTTTTTGGCTAAACAAATGTAATAATAATACATAAATCGACGCATTTGGTTTGATGCTGTGTATCAGTTCAAGTGCATATTCGGAAAACATCGGGAAACTAAAATATAGCAGAATTATTTGGATTGACAAAGAGTAATGTACATGCCAATATATAGTCTTAGGAACAAAAAACAATATATGGTCTGCCAAAAGCTCACAATTAGATGGAGCACATACAGCTGTATAGTGTATTTGCCAGCACGTTGCCTTGTATCTGAGCAAGAATCTAAACGTGGGCATTCAAAAATAACGTGGAACAAAAAAACGAACAAGTGGATAAAGAATCCTGGATACGTGCATTATTGGCATTAACACAAGGATTAAAGAGCATACACAGGTTAAAGACATCTATCTGGGAACAATAGTAAGTGGACTAGGGCAAGGACACGGCTCTCAAAGGGATGATGACCGATGGTCAAGAATAATAATGGAGCAGCAGCGAAGGGATGCAACGCGTCCAACAGAGCCCGTCCAGCTGAGAAGATTGAGCGATGAAATTGTCACGTGCGCAGGTGCTTGGTTAGATTGTCACGCCGCAAAATCGTGGGAGATTACGACGGCTTCATCCAGCAGTGGATTGATTGTGGCTCATAATGAAAGTGATGATCTCACGCCACCAAAATGAAATGACAAATCGCACCTCCACTTGCACCATGAGCGGTCTTTGGTGCCGAAGACGAAAGACGCATCCATACACGTCCACATGGCCTTCATTCTCCAGCTGTCTCACCAAGCAGTCGAGACCAATGTAGGTTCCAGATCGCCCTACTCCAGCACTATGAATTGGTAGACAAAATAATGATCGGCGATTTAGATAAAACATTCTATATAAACCATGCAGACTAACCGGTACTGATTGCCTGACAATGATTCAATTGGGATTACGCATAGCAACGTGCCGCCCCCCCCACCCCAACTGCAAACACTTGGCAGGACACTCCTGCAAATGGGTCTTGAGACTCAATAAGGCTTTCCTGGGGAAGACACGTGCAATAGTAATAATAATAATTATTGCACGTGTTAATGAGTATCATAATAAAGAATAATAATTATTATAATAATTATTGTCATTATTATATAATTAGCCGTTAATAGACTTTATAAACTAATTACGTTAGTGATCCATGTGGGAGTGAAATTAATGTTCAACTTTTCTATGCACAACTTTATTTTAAAAAAAAAGCAAGACAACTTCAATTTTTTTAATTTGCACCAAAACTTCTAAATTATAAACAAATATACATATAAAATATATATTTTCAAATTTTACGTATGAAGTGCTTTAAAATATTACGAGCAATATTTTTCATGTAAATGAAGCAATAAAATCCCAACGTGTTCCAAACACTGTTTCACTAAAGCCTTGGGGCTTTCCGTTAAGCCGACGATGACATTTTACTTCTTTTTTAATCAAAATAAACAAAAAAAACTTTCACATATCGCCCGTCTCTATTTTTTATTTTTAGCGTCTCAACCTGCAGTGGACGACGATGGCTGTGCAGCCGGCTCCGTTGAACGAGTTGACGCGTCGCCGCAGTTTGAGCAGCAGGTTGGGGTCTTCGGGGACACCATGGTCGGGCCAACTCACCAACTGCACGTGGGTCACCCAGTGAGCTCCAAACCCTTTGTGCTTGCTCTGGGGACAACGGCGAAGAGGTCACGGTTAAGGCGCAGCCCTGCAATTGCTTGCTGGAACCGCTGTTGGAGGAAGGGGGGGGGGCAGGGGCCTGGGGCGGGCTTCACTTGGCGTGAACTCTGCAGAGAGGCCCTCATTGACGGCGGTACCTTGGCCTGCTCTTCTACACCGACCAGATGACTTGGATAGTGGTGGGCGTTCACAACACTTTAGCCCACCACACCTGACCTGCCAATTGACTAACTAGATGTATGCGCCCATTTATGCTGCTGGGTGGACAGAGGCGGGAGGATTTCAGAAACTTTGCTTATCGTTTCAACTGCCGCGCCGGGCGATCGTATCGAACCGGCAACCTCTGGATTGCAAGTCCAGCCTGCTGACCGTTACGCCCCAGCAGCATCCCTGAGGAATGACATTCAAGTGTTCCGTTGACATTGCCAAGCATCACACTTTGGTTAGTAAATTGGATAACACTTTGTGCATTGTCATGCACAGCAGTTATGTAGTCGGCTCGTCATGACCCAAGCCAACGCGTCGCCCAGCCAATTTGTCACGTGCCAAAATGTGTCTTGACTCCCTTTTTTATTTATTATTTTGCTCCATATATAAGGTGAAATAAATCAACCGAGGTTTTATAGAATGAATGAAATGTCAGGTGCGGCCATTAAAGCGAACTGCATGATCCGGGGCAATACATCTTTATCTCCATCACTGCAGTAGTCAGTGCATTCCATTATTTTATGTGTGCATGCGTGCACGCACGCGCGCGCGCGCCGTGTGTGTGTGTGTATAAATACAAATCATACGTGGGATATGGAGAGTGTACGAATGACGATGTCTGCGTAGGGCTTCTCATCCACGATCGTCACAGTCACGTCTCCATACACCCTTTTGTCTTCGTCAGGATGTGGCCAATACTGGAAGCATTTTACCTGCAAATAATACGAATTGCATAATGACTGAGGCGTGTGAAGGTATGATAGGCAAACGCATCGCAGATTTTACATGAAGTAATACACCGCGTACGGGTGACAATTACGTGCAAATATGAGGGTAGAAGTGTGGTGGAATAGTGTGGCTATGAATAAACACGTGTGTGTTCGGTATGTGGAGAGTGGTAGTCTGAACGATTAGCGCGCTGAGCTTTGAACCCGGCGACCCAAGTTCGACTCCTGCTCACGGCCAACACCAGTGACGATTATCTAAACCGGTTATGGCCCTCGCCTAGGTCGACTCAGCCCAAAATGTGTCCCGTACTTGATGCAGCGTGCAGTGTGTAAACATCAGCACTGGGGAGACAAAGGCAGCCGGGTGTGAAACAGATCACCCCTCAAGCGGTGTGCCGGCCTTCATAGGTGCTTGCTAAACAGCACTTGCCCCAAGAGCCTGTGTCGTCTATATGGGGAATATTTGTGTGTTGTTAGGTTTGTGCTACACTTACGCATAATGACACTAGAGAAGATCGTTCTCATGGCAGCGTTACTAAGTGCTCACTTACAACAATTGCCCAAATCGTTTATAAGACTGAACGTGAGATGTATTGTATTTGCGTGCGTGCGTGCCTGCGTTGTTTTTAGCCATACCTTTCCCATTTCCTCGCATTTTGTTACCATGACTATCACGGAACTTTTTTTCTCCCAAATCATCTGCCAGAAGTCACCCGCGGTGTTCTCCAGGGGACCTGAAAGCCGCACCACAAAGCGGGCAAACGTTATAACAATCATTTGTTAACACTGAAGCCGCGCCGATGAACCGTGACAAACATGTGCTGCCTTTGAGTGCGTGTTCACGTGTCGGCTTCGGCGATAATAAACTATCTCCCACCTTGCGCAGCGATGTATCTGATGGACGACTTGTAGCCCTACACACAGAACGAAATTCAACGAGCGTGAGTTCGTCGGCAATCGACAAGAGGCCGACTCGCCTTCCACGAATATCGCGACCCTCGTTTAGTCAGCTCTCAGGCGTGGGACCGCACTCACGTCAACGTAGCTTGCGTTAATGTAGTCGCTTTCTCCTTCACCGCTCAGCTTCACTCGATTGTGATCATCTAAGACAATTGATGGCGAGTAAGCGATTAGTCGGTCGGTTATTGTCAAGCCAGCCTGGCGAATGTCCGAGTTAAATATTACGGTTTTTTTGTACGTCTCCGTGGCTGTTAACGTATCGAAGAGTTTCATTGCATCCCACAAACGGCAATATTTAATTTCATAGGGTGCATATGTAATAAGACATTTTCTGTGATACTTGATTAATTTCGTTTATTTAAAGCACACTGGTGTGGGTGCGTATCTCACACGGGAGGATGTCTGAGTAACGGTTCTTCTTGGTGTTGTATTCCTGCGTTGCCTCTTGCTGGGAGTACTTATTAATCTTTCGTGGGAAATTCTGCGAATACAAACATCCTATAATCATTTTGCTTCCTCAAACCGTTGTCTTAACTACAACAGTGAATAATCGACATTGCAGAAATTGCACAACATTCGGCCAGGGACCGCAAACTTTTTATGGTTTCCGAACAATATATTTTTTGGGGGTGGACGTCAGGAGGGGAATATTTACTTTATCTGAATATGTGATAGAAACAAAGATATAACTGCTTGTGACTCTTTAGAAACTACACGGGCAGCAGTATAGCAGAGTGATAACATTGCGCCTCAGCAAAAAGGACCTGGGTTCGATTCCTGACTCAGGTGCCTTTCTGAGTGGGGTTTGTACGTTCTCCCCCTGCTCTGCATGGGTTTCCTCCAGGTTCTCCGATTTCCTCCCCGAGCAAATATATATTCGCAATGTAACTGGTATCAGTGCTTTGACATACTTCAATGTGAAAGGCGCTTTATAAAATAGAGGTCATTATTATTGTATGTATGTTGAACTTCTTTCACACTGTACATAACCAACCGTGATAAATCGGAGGTGCGGGGAAAGGGCAGCATTCTAAATACAAAACGCAGTTCTAAATACGTGAGTTTCCAATCTAGATTTAAAAGTGCACAGCTCAATGCTGAATCATTACTGGCAAATGACACAATTTGGATTAAGCATCCCAGCATCGCACCCCTACAACAAAAACGTTGCAGAACCCTCCCGAGGCTCAGTGAGGCTTTCCTCGGTAAGCAGATGTTATACAAGAAAGTACCATTTTGGGTTTTATATTTTAAAAAATTATAATAAACATAATAACAATAAAACGCCATCCCGAATGGTGTCAGGTGTTTGGTCTCACGCTGAACTCTTCCTGAAACAGCTTGGAGCCCGACGCGGTTTTGGTCTGTACAGTTTGGCGTAACACTTTTGCGGGGATTGGAGCCGATTCCTTGACGATAGTTTCCTTCTGAAACCCTGCAATCACAAGTGTTCAGCCTTTGTCACCAAAATGTCAGCACTAATGGAATTTCTGCCATGAAAGGGATGGAGAGGTGGTGTGGTGGTTGGCGCGCTGCACTATGAACCCCGCGACCCGAGTTTGATTATAGGCCATGACTAACATCAGTGGAAAGTGATATCAGAACGAGTCCTGACCTCATCACCCACCACCAACCCCAATGACCCGATCGAAATCTCTAATTTCGATCGGATCATTGGGATTTATTTGTAATACATCGGCATTTTGCGACCCCCACTGCCACTGTGAAGCATTTTATTGTGCCAGGGACTCTATGAGATGATAGGACAATAGTCTGAGCCCATAATTGGCAATAAGTAATGGCAAAGCGGCTATACGTGACTCACAGAATTGTGCGCAGTTGCGTATACAGTACACGACTTCCCTGAAGGCATTCACCTTCAGCGAGCGCGATGCCAATCACACAACGCGGTTCGAATTCGACCCTCGATTGATCGCTGCGCCATCGCCGCACACGCGTCGAATAAAAAGCAGGGGACAAGTCCTTACTCACTAACAACTCCGATCATTTTTGATTGCTGGAGGGGTTGCCCCCCTACCTGAAAATCCTGGCTCCGCCATTGCAAAGACTCCTGCATGACTTGCATTGTGTGGGGAAGCCTTCTTCATCATTTGCTGGATTGAGAATGGCTCAAATGACTTATTTTATTTAGAATAATGGCAGGGATAGAGCAGTCATGCAGTGGTCAGCGTGCTCTACTGTGAACACGGTGACCTGAGTTTGTCTCCCGGCCATGGTTAACATTGGTGGCGGTTCATTTCTAAACTGGTCCTGGGCCCCCTCCTTCACCAGGACTCGCTAACCAGCTTTGGAACATAGGGCCTGTGAAAGCATTCATCCAGAATCGCATTGACCAAGAGAGCCGTACATTATTTATTGAGGCTAATTAACGTTGACAAACGATGCATGGTGCTTCTAGTCGTTTCGTAACGGTTAAAAAATAAAGACCAGGATAGTTTTGGAAAGTATTTCCTTTCGACTTTTGTACAATCTTTGACATTTACTGTGAAAATATACCAATGGATGTGTTTCGCCAGAACTCTTTCTCAGCAGAAAAAAATACGTGTTGAATATAAAGGATAATAATGTCGGTTACAGAGTAATGTTATGTTTGCAAATTTGGTGTGCAGACGGAATTTGTAGATGTAACACGACGGTTATGAAATATGCAAGAAAACACCGATTCTGTCAGTGATATTTTTGTAAGCGTCAAAATATGAATCGACACAAAAAACCCACTCATCAAAGCTCTCACCGCGGATGCCTTTTGGTAGCAAGCACACCCCTTCATCATTGTTGTATTGTCTACGGATAGCAACAAAAAATCCATACATTACGTTGGTAACAGTGGTGAGGATAAAATACACACAATATAAATAATAATTACACAATCGGCGTGGTTTTTATTTTAAATCTGATTAATGTATCCACGAGTGTGGATAGACATTTGATATCGAATGTTATTAATTACATTGTTCTTATAATTACACAGCATAGGTGGGGAAGCAATTGTAGGTCCATTTTTTTGTTCTCTCTCACAACATCAGGGCTCGTAATTGGAACCTGTGATTAATTTAGTTGCAGTAAAAAAAAATGTTCACCTGGGAATCAGGGCATAGCAAAGTTACACAATAGAGCCCTCGTGTTGTTGTTGTTCACGTTGATCCTGACTCTACAGTGGAGGGGTAATCCTCCGAAAAAACATTTCTATTGTGGCTGCCCGAGTAGCAAAACCGCCCCTGCGTAAGATGACTTAGCGGAGTATGGGCAAGAGTTGCCGTGATATGAGGATGCCATGATAAACAACTTATACGGTCCACGATAGCCGCGTCGTCCGTTTCGCAAAAATATCGTCACACTGTGATCATTGTTGTTTGTTCAATGATTTTCATATGCTGACACCAAATAGTAAAGGAATAACAATACGGAAATAAAATTTGATTTAAAGCTTTCGTTACTGCAGGGATTTACATTCCTGGTTCTATCGGTAAAATCACGTATAATGGAAACAATAAAACAACAAAAATAATAAAATTAAAAAATATTACAAATTATATTTTCATTATTTTATTGTTTCCCTTCTACGTGACTTTTCCGAAAGAACCAAGAATATGAATACGGAAATAAGTTAAGTTTACAACAATAATTATTAAAGAAAAAAAAATATCGAGAGATTTGGACAATATGGCATCGTTCACTGACAGCATGTGCATTGTAAGCGATAGAGATTGTAAAATTGCGATAACTTGTGGCAGGCTTATGTTGAGTGAAGTACGTTTGGATAGCTGTTAACCAATCTTAACCTGTACTTGGAAGTACGACAGAGTGCTGTTAATTTTTCTGCTTCATAATTTTTTCCTTTAATAATTAATTTCCTGCTGACAGTAGTACGCCGACGTACAAAAGGTAAAAACAAATCGAAATACACTTTCAAAGTTGCATGTATGTTGAACTTCTTTCGCACCATACGTATCCAACTGTGCTAATCGGAGATGCGGGGGAAGGACAACGTTGTCCATACAACAAGCAGTTATAAAGAAACTAGTTTCCAATCTACATTTAAAAGTGCATCGCTCCGGTAGCGTCCTAATATTGGAAGGACGAGCGTTCTAGAAGGCCGCAGAAGCGCATCTGATGCGGTGACCGTCTTTGTTCGATGGCCATCCAAAATCCACTTGCGAGAATGACCAGAGTTCGTGTGATGGTTCATCCTCCTTTACGTGATCAGCAAGGTATCGTGGTTAATTTGTGGAAAGCGCTCTGCGTAATGAGTGCAAGAGAATAAGTTGAGCTGAAGTGATGGTCATATCGTGCTGCCCGGGGTTGCATTTGTGCGCCGTACTCACCTTTCAAGCTTTCTGATTTTCAGGTAGAATTTCCGTAGAAAAATCAGGCAGACTACGACTATGACCAACAACAACACAATTGTGACGATCTGTCCGCTGCTTAACCCAGGATGAGGTTGATGAGAATCTGAAATGAAACCTATGAAATCATGAACACACGTTTGACCCGACGCAACACGAAGTAGGAAGTACAACACATGGCTACTATATATCATACTGCACTTGACGGTTATTCATTACATCGTTACGTTTTTAATATTCATCTTAAATTATAAATTCTACATCTTTAATGTACAGCAACTGTTGATTTATATATCGATTTAAAGCTTTCGTGACTGCAGCGATTCATCTCATTGGTTCTTTCGGTAAAGTCACGTAGAAGGGAAATAAAAAATAAATAAATAAAAAACATAATAAAATAATTCTCACGACGTTACGGCCACAACGCAAGCAGAGGACGGCTGCTTGCGTTGTGGCCGAAACGTCGTGAGAATTATTTTATTATGTTTAATTTCTATTATTTTTTTATTTCCCTTCTACGTGACTTTACCGAAAGAACCAAGAAGATGTTGATTTATACTTTTCCCGCTCATTCATTTTTGTGCCACCGAAGGGTTTAGGTGCAGCCCTCCCACTGCTTTGCTCACGCCATTGCTGGCATGAGGGCCTCCACTTATAGCGAGATCAGCATACTCCTCCATGGTGGCCAGGCATTTTGGAAGAGGTGGTAGTGCCCACACTTTACCCCACCATAGGCGGACCTGCCGTCTGATTGACTAAATGGGTGCCCGTGTATCCTTGAACGTACTGCCGAGTGAGACAAGAGCCGGTGGGTGTATTAAAAAAATATAGATATAAACTTGCACCATTGTTGCAATTGCCACCCTACGAGATCGAATTGAACCGACGACTTCTGGATGGCAAGTTCAGTACGCTGCCCATTACACCACTACGGCAGGAATCTGCCACTTAAATTGCGGAACCACATCTTAAGCCGCCTGTCTGATGGCAGTAGTACACCGAGACATCCTCGTCAGTTTTTCGGCATTTTGACTCTTTAGCGCATAAAATTCTCCCCGACCACGTTGTGCAATAATTTCCAGGAGCCGATGACTCAGAACGCAGTGGAAACACCCAGACCCACAGAGATCCCGCAACTCGATGAGGCATTTGACAAAATATGCTCCGTTGCAAATATTCTTACACACAACAACAACTTATTGTGTGTGCTAAAAGTGTAAAGTTTATGCGATGGTCCGTAATTAAATATTGCGGTGACGCGGCTCAGCAGTAGTCGCGGTCGCCGCCTGTTTCGTTTTTTTTGCTGAGGTTCACGGTAAGGAAACCAGTGGCCAGCCGCCCTGATTAATTCCGGCGGGTGTATTAAACGAGAACAAAAAATACGACGCGCCATCTGTGTCACAGTGAACGATAAAGACCCCGTGAAGTCTCTCCTTAAGAGAGCCGTCCATTGGGTGTTGGCGTCGTGGTCCAAAATTGGCTAATTTGAAAAATGACCAGCAAAACGAACTCAGTTGGAACATGAATAGCAATCATTGCACCCCCCCGCACCCACTGCGATAACTTGGCAGGACCCTCCTGAAAAGGAGCCGTGAGACTCACTCAGTGAGGCTCTCCTGGGCAGATACGCGTAATACATACATTTAAAATACGTGAGTTTACTCACCATCAGCCTGCAGTTCAAATGTGAATGTTATATTTTCCAATTCCGTACGATTGTTTGTCTAAACACGAAAGAAAAATAACGTCAACATTACAAATGTTCATTATTTATTTTCCGTTGTTGAGGACCCATCCATGCATGGAATGCCGAGGCACGATATGGTGAAATAAGGAGAGTTCCGTATTTAAATAGATTCAATCTGTATTGTAAACCATCCGGTAACCCAGACGGTTACATACCTCAAAGGTTTTCTCGTAATGTCCAAAGTTAATTTGTTTGATTCCGTTTGAATCTTTCAGTGTTGCATTGCCTTTTCCATTACCCGGTAGGTTCTTGAAAATGACTGTAACTTTGAAGGCCCCTGAGAGCAAAACGTTAAAAGGACACACGTATTGGTCAGATGGACACACAGAAATAATTTGTAAGCACGTTAGGGGCCACGAAGAGTTCGTATCTTTCTCTAAAGGAGAACTGGGTTACAAAAGTAAAAAAAAACGCAGGTATAGAAGAAAAAAAAACACAGTGCAATTTAAAGTGAAACATAGTAAAACACTACGAATAAACCCTTAAATTACACGTTGTCTAAGGTAATCATTGTACAAGGCAAAATATAAACACATTCTCGAATACGATGATCCGAAAGCATTTAATTTACGTTCAGGTTGTGCAAACATTGAATCCGGTCACTGGCACACAGCTCCTCCTTACGAACCCTTCTATCACCACTACCATGTTGACGATTCCTTTGAGCCTCACTCATTCATTCTTCCACCCAATGTCTCATCTCGTCCACAACTTTGCTCACCCACCACCACTGCAGGTCACAACTGCTCTACAGACTTTTAGAATTCCTTCACATGGTCTCTTTTCTCAGGTTCTTAGAACCGTATATTTGAAGTTTTCGTGACTACAAGGGTCCATACTCTTTGGTTTTTTTTTCGCTAAATTCACGTAGGTAAAAAATAAAATAAATGAAATCACGACGTTTCGGAGGCAACACTTCAGGTGGCATCGTCAGTAATTTTGCTGTGACGGTGAGAATTTTCTTGTTTCATATTTTTATTATTTTGTCATTTCCCTTCTACGTGTCTTTACCGAAAGAACCAAGAATATAAAGTCAAGCTAATTAATAGTTTAGCCACAAAGATCGTTTTCACAATATGTTATGAAGTAGACATCAAAGTCAACGTGACAATTAATCAAATTCTTAACATTTTCCGAAACAAAATATTAACCTGTTCATAATTACTGTAATATGGTGTGATTGGTTTATGATTATGTGTATGAATATTGGCACTTAATAATAATCTAACGTTATGTTATTGTGACATCGAGTAATGTACTGTATATATATCATGGATTATTTTGTACAGAATGGATAGTGTGTTTAAATAATGTTATGTTGAGGGTGATGCAAGACAATGATTTACATGGATATACATATTCAAATATTTATTTATACTGAGAGAAAAAGTTATTTGTTAGTTTTTTTAAATCTATAAATTCTCAGTTATTATCAAAGGAATGCACTTCTTAGTGCAACTGTGTTATTTCATCTTCTGTATCCCAGCTGGCATTCATGTGCGTTCATTCACTATAGCGGCACGCTCGAGTCTCGTAACATACTTTTCAGATACATTTCCTTTTCTTTAAGCAATTGTTGAACTTTCGAGTTTGGAAAACGGAATTCAAGAGAAATACCGCAAGCAGATGAGGTGGGTCTTGTGCTCGGCCCGAACGTTGTGGATCCAGGAGTAGAACCTGGCACACGTAGCATGGTTTATATACGCGTGTACGCCCTGCTTCACATGCACGCATACTCGGACAGCTGTAACAAGCGAAACATTTATAAAGGAGCAAGCGTGAACGCATTTTACAATGGTTCAAATACTTCACCGTGAGTTTCGTTTCATTTTTATTTTTGTGCGGAAAACGCAGCGAAGAGAAATACCGTTGTGTGAAGATGAGGTCGGTCCTGAGGTCTGGACGTTCGGTGCGGCCGTAGAACCTGCAGGCGCGTGGCAGAGCCTTAAGTATCATTCGCGTGTTGTTCTTGCCAGCGTTGACCGAAACGTCTTTAATAACGGGTTTTTTTTTGGGTGGGGTAGATCGCGTAACTATAAACGTGTCGATTTAAAGCTTTCGTGACTGCAGGGATTCATCTTCTTGGTTCTTTCGGTAAAGTCACGTAGAAGGGAAGTAATATAACAATAAAAATAAAACATAATAAAATAAAATAATTCTCACAACGTTTCGGCTACAACGCAAGCAGCCGTCTTCTTCACCTACGTGACTTTACCGAAAGAACCAAGAAGATATAAACGTGTCGTTAAACCCTCCACCACCCGACACAGCCAATTCGTAAGGTTTGCCACGTAAACAAAACGTGCCAATTAGTTGCTACTTCAGCAAACCGGTGTGGTTGAGGGTAAACCCACACAACATTTACAATTTGAGTACGACACATTTGTATTTACACGATCTAACCCCCCCAAAAAAACCTTTATTTTGATAGGTTATGTCGCGAAAGCCTACGTGTTAAAACAGAGACGTCTTTTTCACAGGCAAAACTTTGAATGTGCAACCATAGCGTTAACAATGTTCGTCACTTATAACCGTCCGATTTATTTTGTTTCTGCTTTAAAAAAATGTTTAGTTTAGTGAGTTTGAAAATGACACCAAGAGTAATACCTGCGGGTGAAGAAAGCGTGGATCCTATGGTCTGGTTGTTCGTCGAAGCTGTAGAATCTGCGCGCGGGGAAAAGCGTTGAGAATCATTTATGCGCCGTTCGTCACACATTTATTGACATTTCTCACGAGCCAAACGTTCCAATGTGCAACTATGAAATTAACAATGTTCATCATTTATAACCATTCGTTTTATTTTGTTTCGCTCACTTTAGTTTCGTGAGTTTGAAAATAACACCAAGAGAAAGTACCTGTCGGTGAGAATGTGCTGGTTATCGTCGTCAGATTGTTCGTTGTGGCTGTAGAAACAGCACCTGATGAGAGGAGTCGAAATGTATACACTTTAGGTGGTGGCCGACGAAACCATCATTCAACAAGCATACAAGTACGCGTAACGTAGAGTGTGATCCAATCGCAAACACCCCACTGATCCACTCATGACGAGATGACCTTTTTCACCTCAACGGTTCATTAAATATTGTAAAAGGGATGCCTCTACATCTTGCAGAGGTAGGCAGGTCACGTTTTGTTTCATTACTAAGTGCCTTGAGATTGGTGAGAGACATGTAAGGGGTTGTCAAACAAAACACCTTTTCTCTCTAAAAGTCTCAGTAATGTATTTTTTATGAGTGTGGTATCTATACATGGATCTATCTGTGTGTACATTGTAAACAAGTAACGCGTATATGTGCTGTGCAGCGTGACGTTCACCGGCAAATGGCGATGGCGCTGTCGCCAAATTAACACTGTTGATCACGGCAGGGTGAAACCACCTCGACTTGCAATCACCTCTTTAATTCATGGCCCAAGAACCCCTACCTTGTGCGGATTGCGATGTCGCAAAAGTGAAGCGGAGGAGTGAGTGTGCGGTGAGGTGGACGAAGCTTTGAGCCGTGTGGGTTCGCCCTTGGGCGTCGAGCTTTAAAGTAAGAATATGCACACGCACCTCTGTGTGTATATTTTACATGGAGATTGAGTGGCTGCAGAGGCATTATAATTGGCCATCATTATCGGTGCGTTGGTAATTCCTGCAACCCGACCGTGACAAGGGCACGCGTATGATCATCGAGCTCAAATTTATTGTTTAAAAAAATGAACTGCTTGTATCGTGAAGCGAAGTAGATAGAAAAATAATATAAAAAATATCACGACGTTTCGATCGCCACATGAGCAATCATCTTCAGGTGAGAAAACGATTGCTTGTGTTGCGATCGAAACGTCGTGATTTATTTATTTATTATTTTTCTATCTACGTGGCTTTACCGAAATACCCATAGAATATGTATTTCTGCCGTTACCAAAGCTTTAAGTCAAGATTTGTACCGTGAAGTTTACAGCAAAGGTAGGTGTAAACATCAATTTTTGTTTGGTTTCCAATTGATTAATCCAAAGGGTTACATGTGACATCACAGCCACTTATATGGCGTAACTTTCACGCTTTTACCACCAAAAGTGGCATCACGTTTCTTCATGATGACGGTGCTTCACGCAGCTTCGACAGCTTACTCATTGGCGATTGGGTACTCGCGGATGACGACTTGGGACTTGCACTCGGCGTGGTGCTCGCTTGCGTTTGTGTTGTCGCTGCGGCGGCGGAAAGGGGAGTGCAACAAACAACATCGCCCGACAAAAGTGACCCTTGTTAATTATCACCGACTGTCGCTAAAAAGCCAGACTATTTTAGTCGTGGCGAAAGGCCAAAGATTCATAGGCACAACTAACGCGCGCGCATGTGTGTGTGTGTGCGCGCATGCGTGTGCTTGTGACGCAGACTGCAATACGCATTGCAAATGGGTGTCTGTGGAGGTGCAAAGGACTTGGTTTTGCAAATGAAGGAGTGGATTCACGTATAGTGTCCTGTGGAAGAACATGTTTCAGTGCATGCATTGGCAAATTGTTCTTTGGCAAATTGTTCTTTACGAATTGCCACCAACGCAGCGCGTATCTCCATTGGCCTGAACCAGTGATTGAACTTCCACATTTCTACATCAGGAACCATGACAGACAGTATCTTACTTTTTAGCACTGTGCAAATGTTAGTCACGGTTCTGAGCTGCGGTGTACAAAGTTAGGCACCGTCTATAACAAATAATGACGCAATCATAGTTAACAATATAAATAATATAATATTATCCCAGCATATGTAATTCTAATAATGTTAAGTTACAGCCCTTTATTAAGCTACGATGAGGGTTGCATGCCCGTATGTCACCAAGCTATTCAGTGCAAGTTGATTGAAGGGGGAACCAACACTGGTTCAGATATCGCTCACCACTGATGTTAGCCGTGGCTAGAAATTAAACTCAGGTCACTGGGCTCATAGAGCAGTGCACACACACAGTGCTGTTCCACCACTGCGCTAGAGTTTATATATGTGACTATATTGAATGAGTTATATATTAGTTTACATGCTGAACATTTTGACAACTTGTGCAGTCGTAAATAAATGTATTTTAATTACTAATGGCATGTCATACTTTGTAAAAAAAAAGTGCGTGTAAAAAACCGCTAAAATAATTCAATTATTAAAATAATTGCATCATTTTAGCAACTTCCAAAACAATGTGCCTGTACACAATTGTACCGGTGATGTCTAAAATTAAAATGATTGCACATAGGCCAATTAAATCAGTCGTTTCAGTCTCAAAATGAATGCATAATTCTAACATTGTGTCAAATGCAGGTTGATAAGCGACACTTAAAATAATTATCAGTCACTTATAGAGATATTGATTTAGCACATATTAGAGATCAATGCCCCTCTACACATACGTGGGGCACAACATAGCCTGTTTGTGATTTTTTGCAAGATAAGGTGAGAAGACGATTGCGTGTGTTGCGATCGAAACGTCGTGATATTTTTTTAAAAATACATTTTCTATCTACGTGGCTTTACAACAAAGGTAGGTGTGAACATCCCAAAGTATAACAACAACATTTAAGCGAAACCAGCCACTGTCGAGCATTTCTGCGTAACTTGTCGTGAAATTTAGAGACATTGAGAGACACAGGACACGTACGAATGTGCAGTGTTTCAAAAGCAATGTGTGTATGCCAAAAACAGCACGTGAAGTATTTAGGTATATTCTGTACAAATGCCGTATTTGTAATGCTAAACCTTTAATTAATTGTACTAAACTACAACATAATATTTTTCCCATAAATATGCTAAATGCCTCTTGATATGTATATTCTTTTGGCAAGGCGCTCTTTCCCCCCCTTCCAACCCAGCTTATATATATGCTCCAAGCACGTGTGCTGTTTCATTCAGACGCTGTCGCTTCGACAGACCTGGTTTTCACCTGAGGACGGCTGCTTGCGTTGTGGGCGAAATGTCGTGAGAATTGTTTTATTATGTTTTATTTTTATTATTTTATTACTTCCCTTCTACGTGACTTTACCGAAAGAAACAACATAATAACTCCATTAATCAGTGTTTATATATATGGGAGAAAACCGGAGTAACCACGCATGCAAGGTGGGGAGGGAGTGGGGGGGGGGGGTAACACTAAATTCCCATACAGATGGATTACAGATGGAAATTTACCCACTTGCTCTACTGCCATCATGCGCTGGCAGAGCCAGGAGATGGGACCTCGACGCACATGGAGTAGGGAACCGCCAACAGATCGAAATTCGGGCGTGTGACAACAGACGCCTGGCTAACATTACACATGTACGTGCTTGATGCAGTATATATGTATATGTGGTTATATAATGAAAGGTCACCGTTCCATTCCCTTTCCTGTTCAAAGCTGCCTCCTGAAGCAGGTGTGCTGATAAAATGCACCTTGTGGTGTACGTGGTTTTGAACGGCATGTGAAAGGATGTGCTTTTGAAACTGGTGTTTCCTACTTTGTGTAGGTTTCAAAACTCCGTACACCATCTTTAACGTGTCAACGCAGAGCTCTAAACTCACGTTTATAATTCGGTTAACTTGTGTTTGATCGTGTAGGTTTAATGTAAATCTGTTTAATCATAACCCTCCACCACGTGACAGAGCCAATCAAATTAAGTGATCACGCGGGCGAATATGCGAAATTAAATCGTTATTTTTTAAGCCAAATTGGAGGAATGTTGAAATAACAAGGACAATTACACCATCTAACCAAAAATAAGCAAACTATGAATCATAACATTGGTCATGAAAGCTTACGTATACAATTAACTCTGAACTCTAATGTACACAACCTTTACACTTTGAATCAAAATTTGTCCGCACACGTAAAAAATCTGAAATGTATATTCCTACTTTAGGAACCGTATGATTACCAAACCTGACAAGTGAGAAGGGGCAAACGGGGTACAACGCTCCGTTGGGAGATCGTAAATTGCAAGCAAATATTAATTGCCTCGTTGAGTGAATTTTAAATGACTCACATCTAATGTGATGCATATTACTAAAGTATGAAAATGGTGGCAAATAAGCAAACAAAACCGGAGAAATCGAAAACGTCGCGGTTCATATTTCAGCCACCGATTTAATTCATGAACAATATTTTGATCGAGTGTCCACATATAAATATACATGTAAAATAAAAATGAAATTCACAACTTGCTTAGTAAATATTATATTGGGTACAATATGTGCCTGGGGAAAATGTCTCGCCTTTAAACAATGTTGATGGTGAGATGGCCAACATTATTATGTACTTGGGGCCCGCATATCTATCGATGGGCCTGTGTCCTAAAGTGCATGTATATATCCTAGTATGTACTCTTGTTGATGCGATGTACTTAATTAACATATTATATCATCGTACTCTTAGGTTTTATCGGTAAAGTCAGGTAGGTAAAAATAAATAATAAAATAAATATAATAGAAATAATAATAGAAATAAAATGTAAAATCACGACGTTGATTGATACAGTAAATTTAGCTGTGACGGTCCCACCTGATGACGGAGACTTGTGTTGCCTCCAAAACGTCATGATTTATAATTTTATTTATAATATTATTTCTATTATTTTTATTTTACTTTTTTATTTTTACCTACGTGACTTTACCGAAAAAACCTAAGAGTATGAATCCTTGCAGTCACGAAAGCTTCAAATCTAGAATATATATCATCGGCCGAAATATTAAAGCTATACGTATGCAATTTGGACATTACACAGGCAGACCCCATATGCCTGCGGCCAAACCACCCTGAATGCATGTGATCTGGCCAGATTTTGAATTCCAAATCTGACCAGATCAGATTGGTGGGCCAACCGTGCTTGCTCAGCGTTGTAGGCATAGGGCTGTGAGATGTGACCAGTAAATGGCTGTGCTGAGTGTAAACTCCCTCTGTGTGCATGGCGTGTCTCGAGGCAATCTGGTTTCCTACCACATGGCAAACTCGTGTTAACAATTTTGGTCGTACATCCTAATGCTTTTTTTTCGATTTAAAGCTTTCGTGACTGCAGGGATTCATCTTCTTGGTTCTTTCGGTAAAGTCACGTAGAATGGAAATAATAAAATAATAAAAATAAAACATAATTAAATAATTCTCACGACGTTTCGGCCATAACGCAAGCAGCCGTCCTCAGGTGGAGAACAGGTCTGTCGAGAAGAGACTGTCTTCTCGACAGACCTGTTCTCTCTGTCTTCTCGACAGACCTGTTCTCCACCTGAGGACGGCTGCTTGCGTTGTGGCCGAAACGTCGTGAGAATTATTTTATTATGTTTTATTTTTATTATTTTATTATTTCCATTCTACGTGACTTTACCGAAAGAACCAAGAAGATGAATCCTAATGCTTTTGAACAAATAAAGTATTCATATGAAATGGACGTTGTAGGTGTGTGACTGGGCTGTCTGTTTGTCTGGGCTTGTGGGCCCTTTCGAAGAAAGACAAACCCTCAATTGGAAATACTTGTTTACAGGTATTATAGTTTAAAATGGCATTTTTATGCCGAGAGGTGTTCGCCATACGTGAAGTGTTCGCATTCGGCAGCACTGTAAGGCGTTGCAGCTACCAGTGTACCTACAAAATGAAAGCGCAATACGTGAGAACAACAGTAGTCCAGTCTTGATTTGAAGCTTTCGTGACTGCAGGAATTCATACTTTCTGGTTCTTTCGGTAAAGTCACGTAGATAGAAAAATAACAAAAGAAAACACGACGTTTCGGTCGCCACACAAGCGTCCGTCTTCAGGTGAGAAAAGTATTTGCTGTTGTGGCTTTATATAGGCACGGGAGGGGGAGAAGGGGGGGGGGAGTTTTTGTCGAGTCGTGGCTGCAGGAGTTCACGGGGGAGAGGGTTTGTGGCGTGCAGGGAAGAGTGGGGCTGGAGAAATTAGCATGTCAATAAGCTTGAATTAGTAACAGGACACCAAGACGACACGGGTGGGTGAGTGACAATATAGCAGTTAAAACTTGATGTGGTTAATCACATCCTTCCAATGATTGCTTAATCTGAATCCATCTTCTCGATTAAAGTTTGTGTCTGCGTTTGTATATCTGGATGGCTTCCAGCTTATTGACATGCTAATTTCTCCAGCCCCACTCGTCATTGCAAGCCACAAACCCTCCACCCCCTCCCCGTGAACTCCTGCAGCCACGACTCGACAAAAACTCCCCCCCTTCCCCCCTCCCGTGCCTATATAAAGCCACAACAGCAGGTCATTTTCTCACCTGAAGACGGACGCTTGTGTTGCGACCGAAACGTCGCGTTTTCTTTTGTTATTTTTCTATCGACGTCACTTTACCGAAAGAACCAGAGAGTAACAGTAGTCCAATTGACTTTGCATCAACCCTGTAGCGTGGCCTTGTTTAAAGGGGAGGGGGGGGCTTTCAAAGACTTGGAATATGGGGGGGGGGTGGGGGTGAGGAGGAGGGCACGACACTGTCAATGTTAAACTCTGATTCCAAGAACACAGGATCAGATGTTACTATCCTTTGTGCAAGCACTTCCAAGAGTTCATGAACAGTGAGCCTGGTGAAATTCGGGGAGCGCATCGTCAGTAGTGAACCTTTGGGTCCTAGGGTGTTTCGGCCTTTCATACTATACACCCTCCCCAAAGGCGGCCAGCGACAGGGTGATCAATCCTACGCTTGCGTCCCATTCCTAATTAGTCATAGGAGTTGCCTTAAACACATTGAATCAGAATCTTTATTTACACTGGAAGAATCCGATGAGCTATAAAACTCGTTTTCACAGATGTCCAGTAGGGAAAGTTACGGCAGGAGTGCAACGTATAGGGGAGGCTAAGCAAGTCACTAAATAATAAATAAAGTATATAAGTACAAATATAAGTATAAATTCCTTCAGATTTTTTTCAACACCAAATGTAATATTGGGCAAGGCAGAAAAACAAAAAGTCCCAGACCACACCAAGACACGGCAGTGGAGTCCCTCAATAAAATTGCGTGTGAAAATATTAACTATCGATACATGGGTAACGATATGATTGTCTTCTATCTATCGTGCATTCTGCCACACCCCAGCATAGAATGATCGGTATAAACTATATACCGTGGGGATGTGTTCCCAATGTTCAGATTTAAAAAAATAAGAAATTTCGCCTGTGATACTAAACTTTAGGTGATCTAAATTTGTGTTTGGTTTCCAACTGATGAATCCGAAAGGGTTACACGTGACATCACAGCCACTGATATGGCGTAACTTCCACGCTTTTACCACAAAAAGTGACACCACGTTTCTTCAAAATGACGGTGCTTCACGCAGCTTTGACAGGAAAATGACGTTGAGGATTAAAATGTAACGTTTCAAATTCGAAATGATCGCACGACAATGACAATTCTTACAAATTGTATACATTTCGCCGGAAGTTAAATGTCAAAAAAAAAGTGAAATGCAAAACTCATGCCATCCGGCTTACTCATTGGCGATTCGGTACTTGTGGATGACGCCTTGGGACTTGCACTCGGCGTGGTGCTCGCTTGCGTCTGTGCTGTCGCTGCGGCGGTTGAAAGGGGAGTGCAACAAACAGCATCGCCCGACAAAAGTGACCCTTGTTAATTATCACCGACTGTCGCCAAATAGCCAGACTATTTTAGTCGTGGCGAATGGCCAAAGATTCATAGGCACAACTAACGTGCGCGCGCGCGTGTGTGTGTGTGCGCGTGTGCTTGTGCTTGTGACGCAGACTGCAATACGCATTGCAAATGGGTGTCTGTGGAGGTGCAAAGGACTTGGTTTTGCAAATGAAGGAGTGGATTCAAGTATATTGTCCTGTGGACGAACATGTTTCAGTGCATGCATTGACAAATTGTTCTTGACACCAGGTATGTTCGTGAAAATGTTAAATTACATTACAATTTTTTTGCTAATTGCCACCAACGCAGCGCGTATCTCCATTGGCCTGAACGAGTGATTGAACTTCCACATTTCTACATCAGGAACCATGACAGACAGTATCTTACTTTTTAGCACTGTGCAAATGTTAGGCTCGGTTATGGGTGATCACTATTTCTGAGCTGCGGTGTACAAAGTTAGGCACTGTCTATAACAAATAATGACGCACTCGTAGTTAACAATATAAATAACATAATATGATCTCAGCATATGTAATTCTAATAATGTTAAGTTACAGCCCTTTATTAAGCCACGATGAGGGCTGTATGCCCGTATGTTACAAAGCTATTCAGTGCAAGTTGATTGAAGGGGGAACCAACACTGGTTCAGATATCGCTCACCACTGATGTTAGCCATGGCCAGAAATCAAACTCAGGTCACTGGGCTCATAGAGCAGTGCACACACAGCGCTGTTCCACCACTTGCGCTCGAGTTTATATATGTGACTATATTGAATGAGTTTTATATTAGTTTACATGCTGAACATTTTCCCTACTTGTGCAGTCGTAAATAAATTTGTAAAAAAAAAGTGCGTGTAAAAAAAACGCTACAATAATTAAATTATAAGAATAATTTAATTATTTTAGGAACTTCCAATACAATGTTCCTGTACAGAATTGTACCGGTGATGTCTAAAATTAAAATGAATGCACATAGGCCAATGAAATCAGTCGATTCAGTCTCAAAATGAATGCATAATTATAACATTGTGTCAAATGCAGGTTGATAAGCAACACTTAAAATAATTATCAGTCACTTATAGATATATATATATAGATATAGCGCATGGTAGAGGTCAATGCCCTTCTTCACATAAGTGGGGCACAACATAGCCTGTTTGTGATTTTTCGCAAGATAAATTATCATTAAGGCACTATAACTTTGCTTGCGTATCCAACGTTGAATGTAACATTAATTTCAAAACGCGAGTCTAACGAAACGTAAAAACAGAGCAAAGCTGTCGTGGTGGAACTCTTACCGTGGCTCACAGACACCACCAGGCACATCAGCGCGCAAACAGCGATACATCTGGCGAAGGGTGGTTCCATTTTCGCCTCGTCCCTTTGGCCACCAACGACACTTGGATAGCGCTGTCTTGCGTCCGTACTCTATAAAAATCGTACGGTGACTAAAAAAAAAACTCCTCCTTCTGGTTCCACGTGGAGCGTGCGTGCGTGTTGCGTGTGCACGCGCTGAAATGTCACCCGCTTGAGGAATAAAGGAACAAAAACCAGAGGGGGGACGGTGGGGAGACGTGAAACACAGCTCCCGATAGGGCGCTGCTGAGGGGCGAGTGTTTGGGACGAGAAGTTACTCTCGTGTGCCTCTTGGAGCCGAACCCGTGACGACACCGTGCCCTCCGAGTTTTGGAGGTTCCTTATCGGGCCCGCGCACGCAATGCCCAGTGCCCGCAAACGCGAGAAGCCATCGGCCCGTGCCATCTGGACTGGCGCACGCTCTGTCTTTTTTTCGGGGGAAATGAGCGTCATACGCAGTGCTGCCGTAAAGTGTCACGTATACGAATGAGGGACAGACATCTACGAGGCGGGAAGGGACATAAAGGGCCGTATTTATTGTCCGCTTATTAATTTGTTATTTAAAATTCTCCACAACAGCGGTCGTGATTACTTCACGGGATGCTTTAACGTGGAACAATCTCTCAGACACACAAAAAAATACCAGCAGTCTAAAAAAAATTACAAGTGATAAGTTAAACACACGCACACTTGCACAACTTCTGCTATTGTTACATTTAGAGTATCCCGCACTCTATACGAACTGGGTGTGTGCAGAATGTTATGAACCATGTATGTGTGTCTTGGGTCCAATGTTCATCGTATCAAGTCTTAGATTTAAAAAATGTTTGTATACGCGTCATCACGTGTTTGTCACGTGTACACCCGTTTGATCGGTTCAGCCTTCAACATGAGTTTTCGTGAACCAGATGTGCCAATGTGTTTGGTTGACCGTTAAGTTCCCTAAGTGTTATCAGTTAAAGGGCAGCTGCAGTCTCATGCGTATTTACGATGTTGTGTATCTTTGCATTTTCATGGAATTGCATTGTGTTCTTGTGTGTGTGTGTGATTATGAACCACCTTTTCAAAATAACAAATTCCTAAAGCCATCTGATTATGTCATGGGATGTGGTCGGCCCGTGTAGGGCATATTTTTAACACAAAATATCCTATCTGAAAACCTCGCAACCTCTTTATCTTGATCATGAACTGAACCTAGCTTCTAGGTGCGTGAAGCTGACCACACCGCACATTCCTTACATCTTGTTTGAGGTGCACTGATTAGCAAAGCTGAAAAGTGTGCAAAGAAGCATGGGGGGGTGGCAGGCAGTGTGAAATGGGGGTTACCGTGTGGATTTAAATTGAGAAACTAGAGGAGGAACGCATGGATTGGAGACCATACATAATTCAGGGATGTTATTTTGATTGCAAAAAAAAAAATCTCGTGGCCTTGGACAATCTTGCCAAAGAAGGGGAAATGCTCAGTGGTGAAGATTAATGACAGAATGTCAACCAGAGGAAGGAACACGCCCAAGCGGTTATCCACCACGTTGAGATGAAGTGGTGCAATAAGAAGACGCTGGATTGTTGCATCACACGGCCATGAAAGATTGTCATCGTATGAGAAGGCCTCCATCCAACAGTTCACAGATCATGGCTGATCATAGTGATCTTGAATAGTGCTAATATGAAAGGCAGTTGTCAATCCACTGCTGAATAAAGACCTTGTCACGCAACGCTAGTCAGCACGTAGCCCATATCGGCAACGCGCGGTGTTCACACTCGAACGCGTATTCACTATAACGCGGTTCTTCCACTAGGGAACTATTTTCGCTTAACGCGGAAACTTTTCAGGAACGCATCTACCGCGTTAAACGAGGACGACCAACCACTGTATGATGTTGACACAACTTCATCAACGCCCGGATGGTGCTCATCACGCTGGACTCATCAGCAACGTCAGGCTTTTATTATTTTAAAAATGTTTACTTTGCCTTTGCTAAATATGCATCTTAGTGATGAACAGGTGGGTCAAACGAAATAAAATAAAAATGTGTGTATGTATTATAACGTCTTTAGTGTAGAGTTCTCAAGTTGGTTGATACTCCGATTGGCACGGTTGGCTACGTACGGGTTGAAAGAACTTCAAGGGAGAGCTATCCAGCACACGCGTGGAAGTCTCTGTAGCATCAACCTTTGACATGATTTTGTCTTTAAACGCTTTTCACGAAGATGTACTCTTTTAACGTATGCATTCGCTCTGTCCAATCATCTGCCTGCCACGGCAGGCAGAGGAGATGATACAACATCGCTCCTGTAAAGATGATCCAATATAAGAGTCCAGTGAAAAGTTTAAAGGTGGGACTTAGCGTACTGAAACCTGGCCAAATTAGTCAGAGTTGCCCATGAGGGTCTTAATAAATGCACACGACCTGGCCACAATGGTGATCAAAGCCAAAACCATTTTCAATTATTAATAATATTGGTCGCGAAAGCCTACTTGTTTAAATGATCTGTACATCACGTCTGCAGTATAAAGAGCGTTACTGATGTTTTGATGTTTTGTCTTGTTTGTAAAAGCGTTTGCTATTCGCTATGTCCGTCTGTAGTGGGGGCGGGGGGATCATAGTGGCTCTTGTAAAAATGTAATATAACTAACATTTCATGACAAAGTTGTGCTGCTATTAAAACATTGATCAAAGGGTCGCTTAAAACTCGGAGATGAGACGCAAAGGAATGGGAAAAATATACGAATTGCAAATATGCAAATGTACGTTGTTTTTTTTTTGCTCTCACGAGCTGCCTGTCAGCTTCTGTGTGGCTGCTCATGAGGACAAGCACATGTTGGAAACATTTGGACCAGGGGATTGCAACCTGCGGCTCCCAAGCCGCATGAGGCTTTCCAAGCACTGACTTCGTGACCGTTATTTATTTGTGACCACCACCGTCTCGTATTCACATTGCATTGCGGCTCTCGAAATAGAGTTTTTTTTACAGAATTCTAAAAAAAAATTGCTTTTGTTATTTCGGTTGCCGACTCCTGATCCAGACGATTTGTACATGGTGCATTAGTCTTATCCACAAAAAGTCGCAAAATGTTAAACTGCCATGCAAATATAAAATCGCGAATGATCGAATTAAGCGAAGGAAAACTTTGCCAATAAAGAGCTTTTACAGCACTTCGAATTAATATATCGTAACGTGTGTTTCGGGTGAAGGTAGAAAGGTAAAAAATTAACCCGTAAAAACAAAGTTTTTCACTATAAATCCTTTATATGCGTGGCGGCTAGAGTCCTCTCGTCCTCTGGCTTGAGATGGCTGCCACCTATGGGTCAGATGATTGCTTGCCACCATTAAGCAATTGGTAATTAAATATAATTTATTTTTTCCTAAAAGGTGTAAAAATTTTGGAATTTTTTTTCACGAAAATAAATTGTTACGCACAACGAGTCTGTGTGCAAAATGTCAGCTCGATTGGATCACGGGAAGTGGGTTAAAAAACGACCGAAAGATTTGCACGGCCGTAAGCACGCAAGCAAGCAAGCAAGTGAACTTAATATAAAGGATTTAAAAATGCAGTTGCTTTCTCACGTCATCACTGGCGGAAGTTCCTGAATCCGCTTTGGGCCTGCTCTTCCACGCTGTCCAGACAATGCCCAATCAATGCGGAATGATGATGGTGATAATGAACAAACTAACTAAATTACTCTTTTGTTCATTCGGTAAAGTCACGTAGAAAAAAAACTAACTAAACTTTTTTTTTATTTTACCAGGTAAGGCCCACTGATAATAGCCCTACGAAGTTTCTTATCACGTGGGCATTTATAGCAGCCTAATACTCTAAATGCATGTTTTCAAATGTAACAGGTTGCCAAGTTCATAGTCACTGTGTTAACCACTGCATCACCGCTTCACCCCAGTCGAATAATAATGATTCCTCATTTAATTTCTCGCTATTGCAATGTGAACTTCCCTCGGTTCAACTCAGCCTAAAAATGAGCGTCTGTCACGGCGTGTTGGACATCAGCAGAGGGAAGACAAAGACAGCCAGGCTATACGGTGTTGCCTCCACCAACCCCTGTCGTGCACCACGTGGCCCTAAATAGAGGCTCGCAAACAGCTGTTGTTATGACAGTCCGCAGGCGAACAGGGATCAGTCCTACGCATGACCGAGTGGATTTTTATTTCTTTCGCCCCCCCCACCCCGTCATCTCCGTTTTCAAGAACACTGTACACAAAGCGTTGTGACTTTCAAGCGAAGTCACCCGCCGCCCGGTCACCGTCTGGATGAAGCCAGCTGAAATCCCAGCTCATACCTGTCCCAGCAGGTAGAGCGAACGGTAGGGGCGTGTCCTGCGCCCCTGTGGGGTGGGACTAGACCACGCGTCAGCTGCAGACACAGGTTCACTCGAATCCCTGCCCTGCCGACAGACACACGTGTCCCACACGGTCCGTCCGTCTCAACGCCGTCCGCTTGTCTGCACCGTCTTTGACGTTCGCGGTGCGTCTCTGGTTTGGTTTCGAGTCCATCATGACGAGCCAGTCCCAGGGGATTCAGCAGCTCCTCCAGGCTGAGAAGCGAGCTTCTGAAAAGGTGTCAGAGGCGAGGAAACGTAAGTCGCCACTCCGCGTGGCACCGACACGCGTTTTTCTTGTTGTTGTCATGCGATGCTCACGTGGGTATGTGTTCGTATGTGCATCTTTCAGCCGTGGGTCGTATACATTCATCTGGCTATGTGTGGTCTACAAGTTATGCTGCGTTTTGGTAGACGCGGGTCTTCTCACAATATTCAGTATGGCGTGCACGTATGCATATACTTATTCAGAGTCAATTCTTGGTAAAACGAGTCATGGAGATTTGAAAAATCCAAGTCTTGATGCACTAATGTATGCTATGACTGGGTTATATACTTCTCGACAGGTATTGCATGGCAATGAGCTCATGTTTAAATAGCTGACGACTCTCAACCGTGAGCCCTGATGTCAATACATTGTTTTACCATACTTCACCACGCTGGTAAGTGATGTTTGGTAAAGGCTGGGAGCACGATGGCATTGACTGCAATACCTTCTGCTGACAACATGGCACCTAATCAGGGTGGGAGGAACACCACGTTACTATGGCAGGGCTGAGTGATACATCAGATGGCCGCTATTGGCTTGAATCAAAGCGCTGCTTTGATTCGTTTGTGTCTCAGTCCGCTTGTCCCGGTGAGGGTTGCGGCGGCAGCGCGTTGAGTAGTGGCGGTCCAGACCTCCCTCTCCCTGGCGACAGATTCGAGCACTACACTACTATACACTACACTATACACTACACTACTATACACTACACTACTATACACTACACTATACACTACAATACTATACACTACACTACTATACACTACTCTACTATACACTACACTATTATACACTACACTACTATACACTACATTACTATACACTACTATACACTATACACTACACACTACACTATACACTACACACTACTATACACTACACTACTATACACTATACACTACACTACACACTATACACTACACTACTATACACTACACTATACACTACACTACTATACACTGCACTACTATACACTACACTACTATACACTATACACTACACACTACACTATACACTACTATACACTACTCTACTATACACTACACTATTATACACTACACTACTATGCACTACACTACTATACACTATACATACTATACACAAATATACACTATACACTACTATACACTACACTACTATACACTACACTATTATACACTATACATTGCTATGCATTGCTATACACTACTATACACCAGTGACGTGCGGTGAGGTCAATGGCTGGGGAGGCACTGGCTCGTGTCAGAGGCAGATTCACACACTGAGGGGGGCGTTGCCTCAGTGAGGGGGGCGTGTCCTCACTGAGGGGGCGTGTCCTCACTGAGGGGGCGTGTCCTCACTGAGGGGGGCGTGTTAGACACGTCCCCCTCACTGAGGCAGATGTGATAGCTGCCTCCCCTGGTGCTTTTTCATTGCAGTTTCATGACGAGACCAGCGAGCCTAAATATATTTTTACACATACGTGAAATAGGTTACCTGGAGTGTGGAAGGCGAGGACATGAAATGAAGGGGTCTACACACATTACATTGGTGACTTACTGAAATAGTAACAGGCACGCGCTTATTGCCCGCGCTCCATCCAGTTCTCGAGGGGTTGCGCAATCAGAGGGGAGGCTGAGCTCGTCGCTGCCTCACCTCTCGTCTCTTCCTGTATTTACAGCGGAGCTCCGCAAATTTGGCGAATTTGACTATGAAAATGATTGGAATCGTACAGAAATTACATTTATAACACAGATCAGTGGAAAAATCGTAATATTTATTTTATTTGATTATTTTTTTTACTTTTCGTAACAGCTATTTTTATTGGAGTATGCCAGGTGAGGCTCTGCCTCCCCTGCCTCCCCTGCCTCCCCTGACCGCACGTCCCTGCTATACAAAGAACTCTAGCTCTGCCTGGGTAATTCCCAGGCGTTCCCAGGCCAGCCGAGCGACGTCGTCCTGCCAGCAGCAGCGTGCCCTGCGTGGCCCCGGGGTCTTCCCCTGTACTCATTTTGTTAAAGCGAGCCACAAATACGCTCGTAATTACACTTCCCAAAACATTTGGGCCACCTCGTATTCGTTTAGTCCTGTACGATGTATACTCAGGATATCGTACTGAAGAGATAAATGCGAGAATACGTCTAAGCCAGTGGTTCTTCTTAAACGGGGGTGCGAGATGCCCCTTTCTGGGGGGTGCGAGACATGGCCAGATTTGTTTAGAAGGGAAGACATCGATGAAAAAAAACCCAAAAAAACATTTACATTTTTTTTTTTCAATTGAGAACCAAAGTAGATGTTGGTCTAAGACAAGGGCCAGCAACGAAAATTAATAATGAGGCTTTTTTGTTGGAATTCGGTAACCCCCCCCCGCCCCCCCTCAATATTTCAAAAGTCGCAATGCAATGTGAATACGAGACGGTGGTGGTGGTCCTTAATAAAAAAATAACGGCCGCAGGTTTGCCCCCCCCCCTAACCAGGCAAGATCTGTGTATGGCAGTCAGTGCCGGATTAAGCTAGTGCGGGGCCTGTAGCATATGTTGCTATAAAGGGGCCCTAAATTGAACAAAAAAAACACGTCAATATGAAAACACATAAATGTTTAACTTGCATAGTCAAGTAATTGCATTTTTTTGCATTTGCTATACGGCGAGATAATACGACAAATCGCTAACCTTAAAAATCCAGTCGTTCATAAAAGTTGAAGGCGGTATAGTACTATAGTAATAGAGCAAGTGCAGACTCACTGAACCGGAATTGAGAGCTTGAAATCATTTAGCGCGGGGCCCCTGAAAGTGCGGGGCCCGTAGCATATGTAGCTACTTCTGCTGCTAGGATAATCCGCCACTGATGGTAGTGTATAGTTGTGTATAATGGTGTTCTTACCGCTTGCAGTCTTTATTCGCGAGAGTGATCTGGGTGTAGCTATGAGATCCGCGGGGGTCAATGTGCAGCTCGAGCGAGTCGAAATGCACTGTATTGGCACTGCTTGGTGCGGGGTGGTTGTGTGTGTGTGTGTGGAAGCATTCATCCAGCAGTGGATAGACAATGATAATGATACAGAAACAGTACTGGATAGACGGTGACGTGAACTGCCTCGCTCTTGCCAAACTCGAAGCGCCAACTCGCCCTTTGCGATTCCGTCAAGGGCAAATGACAAACTCGGAAAACTGGCACCGTGCATTAATAGTTCACAGGCGTTGGTTGATATTAATTAAAAGTCCAACGTTCAAGGTTTTTTTTTTTGTGCACACTGAAGCAAAAACGCGATGTTTACTCAACGATTTTGATTACCAGACGACTTCCAAAATGCGTGCGCAATTCACATCTATGCATATACAAGTGGAAAACTGTTCAGGGTTATCCACTTATAGATACCGTATCTCACTCAGTACCGGATTACCCTCGTAGCAAAAGTAGCTACATATGTAGTAGCTACGGGCCCCGCACTTTCAAGGGCCCCGCGCTAAATGCTTTCAAGCGATCAATTCCGGTTCAGTGATTCTGCATTTGCTCTATTACTATAGTACTATACCGCCTTCAACTTCTATGAACGACTGGGTGTTTAAGGTTAGCGATTTGTCGTTATATTTGGCTCTATAGAAAATGAAAAAATACACAAACTTTACTATGCAAGTAAAAAAAAATTGTGTTTTAATATTTCTGGGTTATTTTACTTTAGGGCCCCTTTAGAATATCATGCTAACAGGCCCCGCACTAGTTTCATCAATCATTGTATTACTTCGTCCTCAACGGGTGATTGAATGTGGCGAACGCTTTGCAGTTTATGTTGCTTTCTGTACAATTTTTCTCAAATGGTATATATAAATGGATCACTCTGGTGCTGTGATATAACAACAACAACAAAAACACACAAAAACATTCGTCAATAACACCGTGGCCTTAAAATGAACGTATATGACAGACGACGTTTCGGGCAATGGCCCTTCTTCATAGCACATAGAAGCACAGTAGTACTGTAGCAGTACTATTACAATACGTGCTTCATTAAGCCACGTGTATGTTGGCACACCTGTGATCCATCTCTTAGGAGACGATGGTTGGTGGATCACGTATAGATCTGTGAATTCCAGAAGCCCAGCTGAGGCTGCTGTGCAGTCTGGTAATGGCCAATCAGAGTATTTTCCAGAGGTCGCAAACGGGTTTTGATTCCTTACCCGTACCCGTACCCGGCCGCACCAGGGTCGCAAATGGGTACCCGTACCCTACCCTAAATGAGTGACAAACGGTTACTCACCAGTGACTCACGGCCTACCCGTACCCGTACCTGGCCGCACCAGGGTCGCAAATGGGTACCGGGTACCCGTTCCCTACCCGTACCCGTACCCTACCCGAAATTAGTGACAAACGGTTACTCACCAGTGACTCACGGCCTACCCGTACCCGTACCCGGCCACACCAGGGTCGCAAACGGCTACCCGTACCCGGCCGGGTACGGGTAGCCGGGTATCGGGTAGGGTACGGGTATCGGGTACCCGGTGGCGACCTCTGGTATTTTCCCCGAGTATGCTTTGAGGGATATTTCCTCGTGATCCTCTGATAATTGTTTCTGCACGAGGGGAGGAAATCACACTCGGTTTTAAATGAAATGTGGCCAAGCAACCCAATGCGGCAGGCCCCCTACTTGAAATAGTCTTGAGACTCAGTGAGGCTTTCCTTGGATCAAAGCTAATGACATTGATGTGATAAGTGACAGCGTGGGAGGAGCGAAGGTGAAAAGCCCTTTGAGAAGGGGCTCTCCAGAGGTGCCTTTAGTTGGAGACATTTCCGCGAGCAGTGGCGTGAGCAAGCACTTGCAGGGACTGCACCTTTATACACACATAGTTTATCTATTATATCTGTCATGTGCCCTTAAGTTTGTCCTTGGGGCGGGGATTGTAAGCAATCGGGCCAGCGCCCATCTGTTCCTTGACGCTTGTGCGTATGTTTGTTTGAGTTTTGTTTGCAAAACAAAACAAAAGCGCGTGAGTTCGCCAGATCGCGCCGGCGTGGGTAA